CTTAGATGCCGTTAGATAAGAGGTTAGAAAGTCCTGATGGAGCACATTAACACTGTTCGGGGAAAAGGTATTCAGAGATCACTGATTTCAAGGAACCAACTTCCATGTTCTTCATCCCTGGGCGGGAGGACTTGAATGAGCCCCATGTCAAAGTCTACTTTTGAGTACAAGTTATCAGGATTACAAAATAGGGCCAGATTTTCATAAAACCCGTATTTTTCCAGCAAACTCATCAGTGAATAGAAAAAGACTTAGTCTGAAAGCAATGGAATGAAAAGCCAAAACCCAAGAGAAAAGAAAAAGAAAGGTAGAATAAACTCAAACAGTGCATTCACAAATAGCCATTTGTTGTCTCTTTCTGTTTCTTTCTGTTTCGTGTTAGATAGTGAAAGTTAACACAAGTTCTGTGAATTTTTATGGTATAATATGTCAGTTATCAAATGCCTATATTCAAGGAACCAGTTATATGCTGGCTTGTACTAACTCTGAAAGACAGTTCTTACATTTTTAGGAATGTTGTGGGCTGGGTGTTACATATAGGCAATGTAAAAACATAAATTATGTAATTATAGCATTAAATAAATATTAGAAACAAAGGTCACGTGCAGTTTAGTATTTCCTAATAATTTTCAGATATTTTAGTGCTATCCATACCCTTGGGGCTGTTTACAATTCTTGAATCTATAGTGCGCAAGTAGTATGTAACAGTGTGTAAGAGTACATTTATCACTCACTCAACAATTAATGATATCTGGTAGATCGCTTAAATTTGGCCATGTCGGGAATATTAGCATCAATGTAATTGGAAAGCATTAATTCAGTACGTGTTTTCCCATAGGACATCCAGTTGTGAAATTCTGAGTTATGAAATTATGAATGGGATTCGGAGACCCATCTATGGAACTGGAAAGATGCAGACTTGGTCCAACCAGGTGAAAAGCAACAGTGAGAACAGAAGGGACATGTTCATTTCTCATCCTCAGCCACGGCCAGTAAAACATTTCTCTGTTAAGAGAGTCAACACCAACAACTCCTCTTGTATGCTTCTATTTCTGGTGAATTTGATAAAATATATAGGATCTTTTTGTAGAGGGGCTGATGATGTGAACATACACTATTTGCTCTCTTTTCCCTAAGATGCATTAGACATTGAGAGCGCAACACCATTTGACTTTATTTCTCACTAACCAAGTGCCTCAGTCCCAAGTCATACCCAGTAGAGCAGCAGAACACCAACATACTGAATCATGCTGTACAGAGCCATGTACTTAAACATGCAAAATGAGGTCACAAGAGCTGCACGTCCTTCCCTGTGTAAGAAGAGAAATGGAAAGGGAATGAGATGAATGTAATGAAGAGAAATGAGTGTGCTGTTTGGCTGGATTCAGATGTCTGATTATACCCTTGTCTGCTAGCGTAGACCACCTCGAGCCAATGGGAGATGGCTACCGTTGTGCTCAGCAACAGCCGAGACGCTGAAGCTAGAACAATTCCAAGCCAGGTCCATTGGCCTTGTTCTGGTGATGCAGTCCAGATTTACCCAGACTCAGGTCCTTTGTGTGGATGTTGTGTCAGCTGCATAACTCAAAGTCAGTTCACAGAGCTCTGTCTCAGATGACATAGCAATGGCATGCCCCTTGTCTTGATTTCTTCATCTCTGAATTAAGGATTTAGATAAAGATTACAGGTTTGAAGGCTATTTGTATGCAATGAGCATCTTCACTTGTGTTATTGTTGATGACTGGTGTTGAGTAAACAAGACACATTTAAAAATAGATGACTTAGAAAATGCAACTTTTTCTAATCCACTTAGGAAAAATGAATTTTAAAAATTGCATATATGGTCATAGTGATTTCCTGGCATTCCAGTATGACTCTCAAGCCAGAATTTTCCTGTGTCAGAGTTTTGCTGCTGACATTTGCTCTGCCTAGATGCTAATTTCTCCTCTTTGCTCACCTCCTTAAACAAGTTTTCCCATCCAATCCATCCAATGTAGCCAATTTCACCTCTCCAGCCATGTTGCTATCATTTTCATTAGCCAATTTATTTCTTTGACAGTACCTATCAACCTTGATAAATACTTCATTTATCTCCATTAGTTCATGGCACTATCTGTCCAACAAACATTTGCCAAATGTTTGAATACATTTAACAAATTTAAAGGAGTTAGAAAGGCAGTTATTTTAATATTGTGGAAGGAGTGTGATATTTCTAAATAAAGCACAGTTAAACAAACCCAACTCTAAAATCATCTTCAGTCACGTACAGCTGTGTGAGCTTAGTTACCCTAAGAACTCTGAGATTCAATTTCTTAACTTTTCAAAGAAATAATAACCACATTCTTATATCTCTAGGCTGTTTTGAAGTATAAGTTAGCAGACATTAAATCACTTTTTAACTGTAAATATGCACTATTTAGAATAGTGAAAGGAAGGCACCATGTTAGCATTCAATAAAATGGAGAAGTCAACATTTTGTGCAAGAAAAAAAATTAAAGCCTGAAGACAAATTTTAGTGTGATTGAAAGAGATAAAGATTTTGAAAAGCAGAAATAGAAAGGGCATCACAAAAAAGCATGAGAAAGCAAAAGGGAATGAGTGTAAATGGGCTTTTCTCTGTACCCCCGTATAAAGCATCAAAGGGCATGCATTTTTAAAATAAGAGCCTAATCAACCCTTTCAAAACAGTCTTAACAAGTCCCAGATTCGAATTGTCTAAAAATAACCTAACCAATGTATTTCATTGAAAATGCCACTATTCTTTCAGTGTTATTTTTAACTCCAGATAATTCCACTCGGAAATAGAATGTTTGGTTTCATTTTTCCATGCAGTGGGCATGAAGACAAAGCAATGAGATCTGTACCTCAAGTGGGGAGAGAGGGTGTGGGGAGAGAAACGATGCTGAGCGAAGTGTATACTTACTTGATAAGGTGAGGTACGCATTCAATATTTGGAGTTTTAGAAGTGAAAGGCGATGCCACAGATGCCTCCTGCTCTGACAAGGAGATACCCACATGAGCCATTTTCAAAGCCTGAAAATAAAGAGGCAAATGTCACTCATGTTGACTCACACACATCTACACTGACGTCACATTAGAAAAGGCCAGCTGGTCACAAATGGCCTGTGGGCTCCAACATTAGTGAGATGACCAACCTTACTCTGTCTGTTGCATGAAGAAGACATGGAACGGAAACAGACAGTTAAAGCATCAGGAGCTCCAGAACCAAATTTCACCCCATTTAACCTGCCCTGATCACCAAGGATTCGCAGGCCTTTTAAGTCTCAATCCTGCCAATACCAAGAGGCAAAGAGGGCATATGTTCTCGAAGGCACCATATCCGACGGGCTCCAGGTGAAACTGGCTGTGAGGTTTTGGCCTCCCACCAACTACTTACCCCACAATCATTGGCTCCATCACCGCACATACCTACAAAGTAACTAAAAGGAAACAGTGTCAATCGTAGAGATTAAAGCTATCTCATCAGCTCAGTTCTCCCATTAGAAAGGCAAAGTCATCATTCTAACAGGATTTAAAACAAATATAGATTTTGAGCACATTCCATAAGAATAAGGTGTGGCTGAGCAGTTTGGACATCTGTTGAGAAATCCTGCACATTGTTTCAGTCAGTGTTTCGTGCACACCCTGCCCTTCACTGCCGAGAGATCATTCTCTACTATAACACAGGAAATTCACGATAATGTGATTAAGCATTACCACATGGTGGAGAACATGCAGATTTTAAAACTAGAAGATACAGTGCTTTTTGAAGTGTGCAGTTAATTCTTTGTGTTATTTTTGAAATGATTAGCAGACATACAAAAATATGTTCCTCATTATGGGATAATACATGATGTTTTGCTCCAGGTATACCTGTTACATCCTATCAGAATATAACAGCAGGGCCAGTCATGATTAGAACTTGGATGGGGAATCTAAATTTGAGCTTGTCATTTTTGCCATTTGTGCCACTAATTCTCTCTTCTAAAAGTTGTCTAAGTATTAAATTAGCTACTGGATGGAAAGTACATTAAAAGTGTAAAATGATAAATTGATAAGTATTAGTTGTTGGCACAATTAATACTAATAGGAGGAGGTTGTCCTGTTGTATTGATAGCCACTCAAAAACAGAGTGCCAGCTTGAAGAAGGAGAATGTTTTCCTACTTCTGGAAGGCTTTGTGAGTCTGAGTGAATAATTTTCTCTTATAGACATAATTATTGTTAGCTTTTTTAAAATGCAAGATTCACAACAAAGGCTATGCCTTTGCACTAGTTGCTATATTTTCTAATTGGTTTACTCTAAATTTTTTATCAAGTAGGCACACAGGGATTTCTGATTGGATAATTTTCTAATGACTGAAACAAGTGAGTGGAGAGATGGAGGAGTGAGCAGGAGTAGGAATCATGTGGATGATTGTACTGTTACTGCTACACTACAGTACTGTACAGTACACTACAGTACTGCTACCAGTGGTTTTCTACTAACAGAAAAATTAAAGTCCCACATGACAGGCATTTTATTTGGACTGTCTACTCCATCTAGAAAGTGAGAACCTTTGTGGCAGAAAGTAAGCCCTTTTCTGACTTGCAACAGACAGAATGTTTTGGTTTAAGAATATGTTTGAATTTTTAGTGTTATTAGAAGTGTTATATCCTATGAACCTCCCTCTATTATAACTATGATGATGATAATAAAAATAAATATAAATTCCCATATTACTCAAAAGAGCTGAGATCATACCTCTCCACTCCAATGACTACCACAGCCCCCCATGCCCCTTAAGCTCTAGTGTAGCTATTCCCAACTTTAGATGCTAATCGTGAAAAGCTTTGAGAAACGCTGAAGTCTAAGAACCAAATGAGCAGCTGAATCAGAATCTCTGAACAGGGGGATCCTGGTATTGCTAATCTCAATTGTAATCATGGGAAGAACCAAACCCCTAACCAAACTGTATGTCTTAGATTCCTCCCTGTGACTGTTTTGCCTCCATGCAGATCTTGCCACCTAAATTAACAAAGAACCTACTCCAGCTTCTGGAACTCTTCTACCAGACTGGATTTCTGCCCAGGAGACATTCTTGCAAAGATGGTCCCATTGATCAGTATCTGCAAGGAACCCAAAAAAGACATACTTATGATGTCAGGCGGTCATACATGATATAATTAATAATGTCTAGAACAGTAACACATTTGACAACATCATAAGAATTGGAAAATGGTTCCCGGGAGCCCCTTTTTCATCAGCTAAGTGGCTGGTGGAAACCAAGCATCAGTAAAGAAGACTAATAAAGATGAGCTAGAGGAATTTACTCCAGGTACCATGGAGAACACAGATCTGAAAATCTTGACCTTTATGGATTCTTGAACAACTGGATATGAGAAATCACTACATAAAAAGAGGTTAGGACCCCAGGAAAAGAAAAAAGAAGCAAATATTTCTAAAGAAATCATTCAAAACAAGCAGAAAAATAGCCAGATGGTGGATAATGACAATTTGTGGTCTTTGAATTAACCAAAGAAACCAAAGGTGATTAATTATGAAAGTAAGCTGAGACCCCAAACCTAACTAATGCTGTAGAATACTGATGGTTTGGGGGAAGTAAAGCTTGTGCAAGCTTTAGGCACCTGAGCTCTCGCCACAGAACCTGAGTTCCTCTGCGTTAGATCTATGTGTTCCCTACAATTTTTGGCAATAAGTTAATAAAGTTCTTTCAGTCTCAAAGTCTACTCTCTTTTTCACAAACACTGCTCAAGATGATGAGCAACTGAATATACATGCCTTCCTTTCACAATATATTGAACACAACTTTCTTTAATTGGTTCATATGCATATGGCAACTACAAATTTTTTAGAGAAATTTTGAATTGTCTTTCCATTCTGTTATTTCTGACACTTCTGAAGCCCATTCAAAGCTGTGTGCATGTGTGTGTGTGTGTGTGTGTGTGTGTGTGTGTATGTCTTCTCCAGTTTGTCAGAAATAGAGATGCAGATATCTTGCTTGTCCCCGCCATAGGTTTGTTCTTCACCAGAAAAACTTAAAGTTTGATCCTTTAATGAGCATCAGTACAGAAGTCCTCCTCTACAAAGCTAACAAAGCTTCTTTATTCCTTTTTATTTTCTACTTTAGTCTTTATTCTTTACTATTTGATTCTTTAGCCTTTTATATTTTTTACTGTATTTTAGAATTTCTACTTCTACCATACCATAAGAACCTTAATCATGACGATATAGTTACAGCTACCAAAAATCAATCTTTGTGATTTAACAAATCATAGATACACTAATCCTACAGATGGTAGAAATTTGGCTTTCATGTTTATTTCAAATCTAGCACTGCGACAGCAACACATTCAAAAATATCTGCCTTTAGTATGATACTTTGAACTAACCAGCTATAACTAGCCTAATTAGAAGTCTGAAGTTAGTTAGGACAGTTTTCTATAAGTGACATCATGAGTTTCTTCTCGGGGAGAATGCAGCCCTATTAGGACTTACCTTTGGAAGAAGGCTGCTGAAATGTTGACTTATAACATGGAAGGATTTTCCACTTAAAGCAAAATGGTAACTTCCTTCCTTACCATTTTCAGAGACTTCTTCTCTGATGTCAATGTAATTGTTCTGCAAAGCAAAGCACAGCTATTTTAGATTTTCTACTTGATAGATGGTTAAGAACATAAGCACATTTGGAGAAGAGAACGGAGACAGAGCAGGGTCTCTCTTTAAGAGTCACACTGTAATTGCTTCTCGGTCTTTTGGCTAAGATCAAGTGTGAAAGTCACACGGCAGCTCTCGTTCCTCGGAGACGCAGTGTCTCTTCACTGGCTCAATCTTCACGCATCACACCACTCGTGAATAGGGAAATAACATTTACTCATGTCCTCTTCTCATCCAGATTTGATCTCAGTGAGCCCCAGAGAGGAGCACTTTTCACATGTTTCAAGTGATAAATACAGAAGCACTGCAGCTTCACAAATCTCTCCCTGAAGTGACAACTTACTGGTGTTTTTTTTCTTCCCCCCCACCCCCCGCAGAATTAATACTATGCAGCAAGGACACAAGGGAGAGAGAATACTGATGAGACTGGAGATACATGAACACTCGTCTCTCTACCAAATGCATAGTTGGTTTTCTGAGGAATGCAACATGTGCTTCCCAAGGACCAAGTTCCCTCTGAATACAATGGGGAGGCTGACAAGGAAGGGGAAACGGGAAATTCACTTCACAGCTCTGGTTACCACATTGTTTCTCAGACCAAATCAACACTTTTTGAAAGAAAGTGAAAAGAATGAGTTCTTTCAAGAACCCAGGAGAGAACTGTACTTGCAAGCTCAGTGGGAACAATTCAGAATATTGAGATTATTGAGTTCATTGAATTGCCTATGTGTTAGACCTTTGAAGCGGTTATGCTGACTCCAGATCAGCCATAGGCTTGCCAATCACAGCTGTTCAGTCACAGAATCTAATCCCAGGGAGGTAGAACAACAGAGGGCCAGCTTCAGTTGTACCTGATTCCCATATGCGATGTGCTTCTTCTCTTCCACTAATTTCCATGATATAGATGCTGAAGAGGATCCAGTAGATTCATTTGCCTCAATGAGAATGACCTTCTGATTTTCAGAAACCATCCCAGACTTTCTGGCCACTGTTATTGCAGTCTGCAGATTATCACCTGCAAGAAAGGACAAGTACCCTGAGATGACACTGAAAAGATGGAACCAAATCACAAAGCCTGGAAAACCAGACCAGAAGGTTAGGCTTTCTTCAGCACATGGGAAAATTATATCTAAGATCTTTTCCAGCCCTAATCTGTGATTCCATGGCCCTGTTTCTGGCCATGTTACATTTCATCAATAAAGTTTTCAACGGTAAAGTTACATTAATTTAGGACACTGACAGCCTGCTCGCCAGCAGAGGTCCATTCCACTTCCACCACCCAGAGAGATTGAATACTGACCCACCGAGCTTCAGACACCTGATGGAGAAATGTAGCAACTTCTCTATGAGGTCCTAGAAGCTGGATAAGAAAAGATGAGGCAAAACAGCAAGCATGCATGCCTGGTGAAGTAACACACCTACCATAGGTGCACTTTGCCCCCACAATAATGAGAATGCTGAAGGAAACTCAAATGCACCATCAAAAGGGGGGAAATTTTTCTACTGCTTAATAACTTTAATAAGCCAACAAATGGTTTGAAGGTAATAATGAGAAATGGAATTTAGATTTACAAAAACTGGATTAAAAAAACTTAAAGCACCAAGAATATAAAAATATGATCACCATCACAAGAAGAGAGAGCACAGACTGTACCAACAGGTCCTGGTGCGCAGTGAAGCAAATAATGAATTTTCTAGAAGTTAAAAAAAAAGACAAGGAACAAAGGCAATCAGCAAATGAACAGTATCAGAAAATTTTCCTGAGAAGAACCAAGACAAAAGCATCCTCTGTTTCTCTGTTCCAAAATGAATGAATGAAAACAAAGAAAAGGGTAAAGATTATGTACAGACAAGGGCAAGTTGCCTACAATGAACTTGAACTAGGTTTGCAATGCACAATGTCAAACATCAAAAAGCAAAAGAATAAGAATAGCATCCACACAGAGATCATTAATAAAGGTCTATATCCAAGCAAGAGATATCCTCTATGTATCAGGACAATAAAAACATATCTCAAGGTTGCATCTTAGTCCTCTATTCCATTCAAGAACAGTACATGAAAAAAAGTTAGAGAAAAGCCATGAAAGAAACAGAACAGAAATTTCAAAATTGGGAAGAGAGAAATGGAACAGGGGTTAGAGAGAAGTGAACTCTTTGTATGTAGATCTAAAAGCTCACCAATAGATGATGGAGCCAGTATCATTACGCAAGAGTTAAGATGCCGCCTACAACCCCAGCATGCCACATGGGTGCTAGTTCAAGTTCCATCTGCTCTGCTTCTAATCCAACTCCTTGCTAAAGTGTCTGGATAAGCAACAGAAGATGGCCCAAGTCCTTATTCCCCTGCATCCATGTGGATGTGGGAGACACAGCTGAAGCTCCTGACTCACAGCTCCTATCTATGGCTGGGCCTAGTCCTAGTCATTGAAACCATTTGGGAAGTGCACCAGCAGATGTAAGACCTTTCTCTCTCTCTTTTTCTCTCTCTCTCTCTTTCCTCTCTGAAACTCCAACTTTCAAATAAATAAATGGAATAGCAAAATTTTTAAAAAAGAAAAGGTGATATGTAAGCACTAAATGATAACTTTGTGAAATAAAAGAATCAGGGTATAGGGGAAATTCTAACGAGTAGTAAAACTAAACCAGCAACTCCTTAATGTTGAACAAGGGATTAGAAAGGAAGAAAGTAAAGGTCATCCAAAGCTCTTCTGGATGTAGGCTTGGAGATGAGCAATGGATCTTTACAGAACAGGGAGTGAAGGTATCCCGAAATCCCCAGTGTGGAATGATGTTTGGAGAAATGGAGATCAGGAGGATGTGCTTTATTAAGAAAAGATTATATTTTTGTGACCCAAGAAATAGTGCTAGTTTTTTTTTAAATATGAATATGAGAGTAGAGAAAGATAAGCCAATACATCCTCAAAAAACATGAATTCACTAGAAAATCACTTGTTTAATCGCTAACTCTAGTCTCTTTCACAATTAAAAAAATAAAATCAGTTGAAAAATGCTCTTTACAGTATTTGACACATCTGTTTTGTATGACCCTTTCTCAGTCTTCTTTGTGTCTGTGACAAGAGCCTGGGGTTAACAGTACATAGGATAACCTCCACAGTCATAAGCCTTCTTCTAGAAGAGCCTCCTGTGTAGGGCACAGTACACATTGACAAAGGATTCTCCTTCTCACAGTGACACTAAAAAGCATCGTGTTGTCGACCAGGTCTTAACTCAAATGTCACTTCTAGAGAGACTCTCTTAACCACATCCTCCAAAGTAGTCAGATACGTTGCCCCAGAACACTCGTTTTTTGTACTTCAAGACAGTTGTTACCATTTGATTGATGTCTCATTAACTTTTCAGAAGTTTGGTGAAGCAGTAATTCTGTTGATTCTGTCCATCCCCAGCACTCAGCATGGAGTCTGGCACAAAGCTGCTAGTCAACCATGTGCAGTGAATGAACCCCTGTCCAAACCACAGTGAACGCTCACTCTTTTCACTGTACCTGTGATCATTACAGTCCTTATCCGGGCTGAGATGAGCTCTTCTAAGACAGGTTTTGTCTCTTCCTTCAATCGATTCTCCAAGATCAGCAATCCCAGGAATATCAGGTCTGATTCTACCTTTTCCCTGGAAATACACATGTGATTAAATAGGAACAGCACCTACGTGCTTTCTTGCAGAAGTGATGCAAAATGGAAGACTGGCCGAGTAGTTCCACTCACTGAAGTACTGTTCCTTGGGCCCTGATCAGGAATGATCCAGAAAGAAGATGTTCACATGTGTACTCTGACTGAAGCAACAGGAAGGAAGTGTTTCTTAAGTAAATCTTTGCTTTAACTGGTAAAGAGAACTAGCTAACTGAGCACAAAGGGCTTTGCTATGTACAGGGGTTACATTTATGGTCATGGCCTCACTACTTATCCACAAAGAGGAGCTCTAGTTCTGATACAAAACATGGCTCAGAATACATTAGATGAAAAAGAAAAGAAGACACCATTTCCTCCCAAAGCCATGGCCATAATAGATGGCATTTTAGCCACAGGAGGTAAGAAATCATTATTTCAACAAGAAAGCTCCTCCACTGAGGTCATGCTCCCCCTGCCATGCTTTCCTTATCAGTGGCTTTGCTCTTCTGCACACAGCATAGGTGTGTATATAGGTGCTTTTGCAAGTCAGTAAGACCTCCAAGGTTCTAATCTAATTATGAACATTTCCAGAACTCACTCTCCAAGACCAAGTGTAGCAGGGTACATCTGGGGTCAGAGATTCAAAGATGCATACACAAATAATTATGTTGCATGCAGGCGACAAGAATAAGACACCAGGACTGCCTAATTCTAATTCAAATACAGGTGGAATGGCACCTACTAAAACTTCCTTGCCTTGTTTGCCATACATTTGCCTCTAGATTTACCTCTATTCTAGGCCCTACATTAGCCAGAGCCATGGACTCCAGTTGGTGGGACTTCCAGGAAACTGTCAACACCCAATGGAATGGCAAAAATAGACATCATTTGAACCACTCATGTCAGAGTAAGGTACATGAATGGCATTTCCAATGGAGTCTAGCATTTAAGTCTCTTCATTAGCTTTCATTATATTTCAAACTATTTTCCCAGATTCGTTGATCACTTTATTATCATCCTGATCTCCAGCCAAGTTGAACTACTTGCCATGGACATTTTTTTTGCACCATGCTGCTATGAGACCTTCTTGGTTTCAGGTAGGAGGCTGAGCATTCTCCATGATTTACCACTGAAATTATTATTGTGTCTTGAGGCCCCACTCAAATGCTGTCTCCCCCAAAGACACTTCCCTAGATAGAAATGATTGCTTCCTTGGCATGTTTATCCTATCACCATTAAGATCATATTTTCCCATTATCATTGTTGATCTTCTAATCTCTCTAGCTTAACAACTTGAAGGAAAGCCCACCTGTGCTCAATGCTGTGTCCAACTACATCCATGACACTAGGAAAGTACACAGCAGATATATGCCTGTTTTAAATGATTGGATGGTAGTGACCACTTCTTGTTGAGTAATCTAAGAAAATTCAACTCCTTGTTTATGATTCTCATTGAGAAACCACATAGTAAAACTCTCAGGCCTGGGGGCATTAACTACTAGGAAACGTCAAAGGGGAAGAGACCATGTACAGAAACTATAGTAGTTCCTCACCCCAAAAATTTCACATTCAACTAGGAGGAAAAGATTAAACATGAATAAATATCTTGGTTGCATGGATGGCTAAAGAGAGAACTGTGGCAGGTCAAACTAGAGTTGCACAGAGTTGAAAACAATGGCACATTTTTGGATCGAGTATTTTGAAAAGCCTTTCTGAAGGAAGTGAATTTGCTCTGATCTTTGCAGGATAATCTAACTGATGTATGGCTGAGGTCCTCCAATCTTTCTAGTAGCCCAGTCACTCAGGCATAAGTTTAAGATGCATTGTTAAAGATGAGTCCGTTTTATATATGTGTCAATCACAGTGTGCCAGACAGGCCAAGAAAACGCCTGCAACATTAAATATCTGACACAGCCTGTGGTCCACATCAGCAGTAGCATCACTCGGTCCTCCGGCATTGGGCCTCGGGAGGGCTCACTCTACAGTAATCAGGATACTTAGATCCTATTTTCAGCCCTCCCTCTAACTTTCTGGGTAATCATAAATAAATCACATTTTTATCTGGTCAGCAAATTCATTTGTGGGTCCTAAAGTCTCTCCTTCTATCCTTTTATAGTTCATCTTTCCCTGAGTATTGAGTCTGAGTCAAGAAACAAAAAGGACTAAGCCCCCGAAGAGTCTCAGCTTGGAATAGTATGCTGGCTGTTCCTGCACCTTTCAGATGCCTCACTCTCTCCTGAAGTCTCTAAAACTAGCGGTGTGATACAAAGCAAGCACTGTCACCCCCATGATGGCACTCCACATGATTTTTACAGGCTGAAACATGTATGTACTGGGCCAACTCAAAGAGATTATGATTATAATACTGGAAACACCCTGTGTGAACACCCACGCACACACATACACATGGAAAGAAGATTTTGTCCTAAGCAAGGAATAACAAAAAACAGGACAATTAACTTAACTGTAAGAATATGTCATAATGTCGTGGTTTTAAGGTTTAAAAAAAAAGGCAAATCGACAACATGATATTTAGTCTCATTAGCGGATTTGTAATTAAGCCTCAACAGATTGAAGAAGTTACCACTTCATTATCTTTTTATAGGATGCAGGCCGTTGTGCAGCCTCACCTGTAGGTATCTGCAGGGTCTTCTAGAACAAATCTCCCCCACCCACAGATACCAAAGGACGACTGCATTATTTTTGGTGATACCTTCCTTGCATTTGTTTTTACCATGTAGGAAGACCTTATTTTTACATCCAATGTGTGCAGATAATATTACACATAAATTTTTATTTTATAATAGAGTGGAAATATGAAATATAGCTGTAACAAAAAAGTATTGAGTCTGATAAAGTTGAAAACAAATATATTGGACTTTCCAGATTTAAAATCCTTTTTTTTTTTTAACAACCTAGGTCTCATTATCTCCTAGGCAGTATAATCAGGAGTGACTGACACCAAGTATTGGAAATTGAATTGAAAGTGAAATGACCTCACTAGCCTAAGAACAATGAAAAGTTTTCAAAATAACCATATTAAATAAGATTGAACTCATAAGCACCACAGTCCATTCCAGCTGGGGAACATTTCTATTGTAATCTGTGATTCCAAAATTTCCCTAGGATGATCCTGCAAAAACTTCCTTTATTCTTTTCTATATTTACCAAAATAATGTAAATATAAACTATGTCATTATTGAGCTGTATGTTTATTACCATACAGTGAGATACCAGAATGTTTTACCTTCCATCCAGTGTGATAATTTAATAATAATAAGGATATAATCCCTTACTCTGAAACATTGCTTGAATTCATCTATCCATTTTTACAAAAAATATGAAATCACATTTTACATCGTATATAGTAATTATTCCTTAGAAAATTTCCCAGGTAGCAGTTAGCAACTGAAGCAGAAAGATGGCTCTACTCCCATTCACCAAAGTTCAGAGTCATACTTGAACACTAACTCGAAGAGCTGTTCTGTGTCTACTCACCTTGTTAAGGCAGTTGTGTGATGGTCGGTTTCTAGCTTCTTGTAGGCCAGTGCTATGACTCGGAAGCCCTGTGTCGTGTAAATCTGAAGTTCACTGACAAAACTAGCCGGTACTGTACAGAAAATATCATAGGATTAGTAAGAAATGTTTATGTAGCTGGTACTGGCAGCTAAAAAAATCCATCCTTTGCACAAGAAAACATTCCTCCAAAAAAAAAAGTTCACTACCAAGACCATGAGAATTGTAAACCTCACTACATTGTTAGGGTTACTGTTTGGGATCTAGTGAACCAGTGTAGAAACAAAGAGAAATAAAGTGGGGCAGAGGGGTGGATGAAGCAGTATGGGGAACATATAGAATTATTTTGTTCTTCAGTTTACTAAGGAAATACGTATTGAAGCTCTACTATACAACAGGTTATGCAGAGATAAAACTGTGAGCCTTATTCTAAGGGTTTATGCTGAGCTGAGTAGCAGCCAATGTGCTATCAACACACTCAAATAAGATCCTTGCTGTGATGCATGCAATTGCAATATGTTATGCAAGTGCTTCATTCGCATGTAAGACCGGGAGAAAGTGGCTAGGAGAAGGAAATTCATTTTTCACCAAGTGAACATCATGTTTTCGGGCACCAAGGCATGAAACAGGAAACCTTGGCTACTTAGTTCAGCTTAAAGAAGTTCAGCACGTGAGGAGAGGGGGCATCAGGCACATTTGGGGTGTCTGACGGACCCAGATTATGAAAGCCTTACATAGGATCTCAAAGGAGTTGGCGATAACACTGGAAGCAACAAAAGCATCAAAACAATAATGTGACAACACAGTTGTAGTGGAAAAACCTACACGTCCATCGTACAGAAAGTGAATCACAGAGACTGGAGGTGACAATTCACCAACTGTCAAAGTGGTCGGCAGTGGTGACAGCCTGAGCTGATGCAGTGATGGGGCCATGATTAGCAAGTGACAAGATAAAGGTACTAAGGGAAAGGGAGGGCTCAGATGTGACTCCTGAACTGTGTGCATGGAGGCATGGTGGTACGATGCCAAGACGGGAAGCTGGAAATCCAGAAAGCAGGAAAAGAAGGTTTGATTCTGGTACTGTTTGCAATGCCAGTGAGTTACACCATTGGTGAGATCCAGCAGGCAGCTGGGTTCATAGGTCAGCTGCTGCACGGTCACATGTTTGGGATGCAGTCCTACGGTCTCAATAGTGTCTGTTTACCAACCTGTCTCAGGGTAGCAGAAGCTGGCTACCCTTTCTGGTGCTCCTTTCATGAATGCCAGCCGGTCACCTCCCACTTCTTGGACAATGACGGTCATCCTCTGCAGCGCTGATGAGAATGGGAATTGATGCAGGATGGCAATTCCTTCAACTGGGACCTGGTTGAGACATAGGGAGTGGAGAGAAGCAGACAAACACAGCCTCCAGTCATTGAGAATTCTCTCTCCCTCCCTAAATCCTTAGGCTGTTAGCTAAGGAAGAAACATCTACCAGTTTTTACCTCTGAAATTCAAAGACAGCTCCGTGAACTTTGAACACCAGGTGTCAGAAGGGAGCTTCCCTTTGGGTCTTGGCAGGGTGAGAGGAATGGGAAGCAAGACTTACCTGGCTGTCTGTTTTGCAAGGCTTAACCACCATGGCATGCGCTGGCACTCCCTTGATATGGAAATCATCTCCAGAAACTGCCATTTCCTATTTCACAAATGGGAAATTTCATGGTAGGTATTTATGTATTGTTTGACCACAGATACTATGCCCAAATCCTCCCACTGAAAAAAAAAAATCCTCAGATCAGCTCTGTGTTTTCTTCATGTCTCCTCCCTCAGCTGGATGGAGGTAAGCTAGACTTTTTTCCAACACAGAAACACAGAATGCATTGGAAATGCTGTGGAACTTGGAAGGCAGACACTTCTGAATTATTCATGCAATTTATCCTGCTTTCTCTGTTTGGATGTGTTACACAAGTATAAAGGCTCATTCTCAATTTCTGAAGAATCTAGCTTGAAAATGGTGAGCATTTGTAGCCAGATTTATTTCGTATAAAGCAAACACCTTACATCTTTCTTTCCCTGGAGTTCAGTACTGAAACCGTTATCCCCAGTGTGTCAAATTTGGAATGATTGTCCTCAAGGTGAATCTGGACAGAACAGGGACTGTGAGTGTGTGGTTAATGATCAGTAATTTCTGTAATAGCGATCCCAGAATAAAGTCAAAAAACCATTCATGCAAAGACAATCAACTACTTTTAAGCATCTTATTGAATGGCTGAAATTAAAAAAAAATCTAACAAAAGAAATTTTACTCTCTAAGATTCCAAACGGGATACGGGATTGGCCAGATACACCAGCTTACTGTGGGATCATGCTACAGTAGAGTAGGAGGACCTGATGATGGGGTGAAATAGCACAGTAGTTGGGGACCTGTATTCTCTTATTTCCACCCTGTAGCCCCAACAGACCAACGCTACTTAGTTTTTAGAGGATGTTTCTGAATAAGATGTTCGAGATTCCAGCATTTTGTCTTGTCTTGTGTCATGTGAACACTGCTGGGCTAATTCAATCCTTTTATCTTACGGTCAAAAGAGCCAAGGACCTGACACAAGACTGAGCTGTCAGAGCAGAGCAGAAACTAGACCCAGAGGAGCCAGATTCCTAAACCACAGCACTTCTCTTACACTGAGTTCAGAGTCTCCACAAAAGCTCTGTAATGACTTTCCTTTACATTGTTTCCGTCTTAGAAATGAAACCACTGCTAAATTAACTCGGGCACAGTGAGTCTGTGCGCTATCCTAAGCAATCTAGACAGTGGTGTTTCTTAATCCTCACTTTCTAAAAAAATGTGTTCTTTCCATTTATTTATTTTTGTTGACAAATAAAAATTGCATGTTTTTGTGGTGTCCAATGGAACATTTAGATACAGGAAAACACTGCATAAAGAATCAGTCAAGCTAATGCATCCAGACGCAGGTTTCATTTTTAAATGTCTCATCTTATTGACTCCCCATAATAATCCTGTAATGCAAGTTGCTCTCGTTAGTTGCATTAAACCAGTGGGGAAACCAGGCTGCAACTAGTTTTCACTTTACTGTGTGATAGTGTTGGAGACTTGCATTTTGCAAATGCTAAACAGCCATAAGAGAACCTGGGTTTCTCTGGCATTGAGGATGTTTCTGATATTCTCTGCAGAGTTGAAGCTTACCCAGGCAGTGGCTTCAAACATCTTGAGGTCCAGGGGGTCTCCCTGGATGGTCCCATCAAGGAGGATCAGAGAGTGGCAGCTGGCCATGGCGGCACACAGCGGGCCCCATGGCAAAGCCCTGCCTGAGACAAAGCTGTGGACTTCCTGGAAGCTAAAGGAAGAAGAGGGAAAGTTTTAGTCCTTACCTGTTCATGCCAAAATGGAGCTGCTTGAAGCTACATTGTTTTGACCAATCATGTTAACACTTTTTTGTCACCTCACATACTCACTGTCCAAATCCCCTAATCAAGAACCTTTGTTCAGCATCACATTTGGAGTAAGGTGCAGGAATGAACTCTGATGTTCTTTCCAGGTCTCTTCTTCCTGTTTTCCTCATCCCTTCTCTGACTAGTTTAATTCCAGAGACAAGACAAGAACTTAAGAATCCCCCTCTGTTCCATGCTCTTCCAGTTGCACTCCAACTAGCAGACGAATTCTTCTGCAGTTCTTGAGACAGAATAGACCAACTCAATGCTAGATATTTGACTATGTGAGTATTTTGCTCTATCAGTCAGTTGTGTCTGAAGAAAGTGTCTCCCAATACATTTGATGTTTGCCTGACAGCACACAGCCAATAAATGCGTGAGTGAGTTGATTCCTAGAAAACTTCAATACCATAATGTTGAATATATGAAATTAAAAACATTTTCAAAAACACATTGAATTCCTTTCTTCTACCCTGACATCCAGTGCATATATCGCAACCACTGCCCTCATCATTTCCTACTGAAATCAAATGGAATATCATGGAGTAAACCAGTTAAGGTGCCAGTCGGAGCACACAAATCCCAGGTTGGAGTGCTCACACTCAGTGAGGAAGTGGAATGCCCTACTTCCAGTTCTGGTTTCCTGTCAATGTGTGCTCTGGGAGGCAGCATGTAATGCCTTGGGTACATGTATCATGTATCCCTTCACCCACAGGGGAGACCCAGCTTGGAGTCCAAGCTTCTGGCTTTGGCTTGATCGAGCCCTGGTTATTGCAGCCATTTGGGGAACCAGGCATTGGATGAGAGCTACGGGAAAGTTTCTCTCTTTCTCTCTCTTTCTCTCTCTCTCTCTCTCTCTTTCTCAGCCTCCCCACCTCCAACCATTCACATACTAAAATGAATACACAAAGATAACAAAAAATGTTGCAAACAGTTTTCCTTCACTAGTCAAGAGTGAGACCAAGTTCACTGTCAGACCCACTGGAGGGATGGCCTCTTCAGTCAGTGGACAGGTCCTTCCAGTGCACAGCAGAGCAGTAAGTGCACAAAGCAGTCCATCCTGCTTGAAGCAAAATCTTCCCCATGGAGGCATGGAGGCACTCCGGATCTACGTGCCCCCTCGTCTGCATGCTAACTTCTTCCAGACTGTTGGATCAACTCTTCCCTTGTCCTCTAGCTGTTCCACTAATATGCAGCTGTTTTAGACTTCTCATCTGCCCAGTTACTGTGTGTGTGTGTGTGTGTGTGTGTGTGTGTGTGTGTGAAAGTTTGCATTTGTCGGATTGCTTTTAATGTGGTTTTCAGGATCAGAATATGATTTCTCATCACACAGATATGCATTTCTTTAAATGCAATCTTAAGTGGATGTAGCATTTGGTCTTGGAAGGCATCCACATCACAGAGTGAACTCACACTGCAGACACATTTTTGCCCTATTTTAAATTCAAGCTTCCTGTTGTGACACTAAGCGTTGTAAACCCAGTGGTCTTACTACTGACCTTGTGGGAGATTATTATGCATTGAACTACAGGTCCTCTTAGTGGTTTGCAACATGCCCCATGGTGTTTGAGTGAACATCTAAAAGGAAGAACTCACCAGCTCACAGTAGGGCCCGGTGCGGTGGTGCAGTGGCACAGTGGTTAAGGTCCTCGCCTTGCACGCCCGGGATCCCATATGGGCGCCGGTTCTAATCCCAGTAGCCCTGCATCCCTTCAAGCTCCCTGCCTGTGGCCCGGGAAAGCAGTCGAGAACGGCCCAGAGCTTTGGGACCCTGCACCCGCGTGGGAGACCCGGAAGAGGCTCCTGGCTTCAGATCGGCATAGCATCAGCCGTTGTGCTCACTTGGGCAGTGAATCATCAGAAGGAAGATCTTCCTCTCTGTCTCTCTTCGCTGTATATCTGCCTTTCCAATAAAAATAAAATAAATCTTTAAAAAAAAAGATGACATGTACATGCTGTCATGGATATGTAATCCTAAATTCATAATTCCGAGTCCCAAAGGATTGGGTCAGACACCAGTTTGGCAAAATACATGGAGTGCTCTGTCATCCCTGCCCTTGTAGGTTTATTAAGCCATTTACGGTGGATCAAACCTGAGAAGCCTGAAGCAGTTAGGGAAGGGCCCGAGGATCTGTCAGGACCTTTTTTGGAAAAAGATAGGAATAATCAGAGACAAGCTCACCTTTAATAAGATATTTAATAGTCAGTTAGTGAGATGCTATGCTTTTATTTACAAGTAAATCTGTTTTCTCTCATATTAGTTATTAAATTTGTCAATTTTTTCAAGTTGCTTTGAGTCACTTGATGTCAACTTTGATCTTTTTGTCACAAGAAAAAGGGGGAGTAGGTAGCAGGGAAAAAAGGGAGGCGGTGCTAATTAATCAATGTAATCCAAATAGTGTATCAATCATTTTTGTAGAAACGTTAAAAAGCCATTTTTAGAAACAGCAAGTTTACAAATTTCTTAAGCAGAATGGTCCAAATGCAGAACATGCTTAGTTCATTTTAAATGAATAAATTTGACTGTTCACCACCTGTGTGTCCCTGACACAGTGGGGTGGCATTGAGGATGCACGTGCAAACAAGAAAAAAAATTGTTCTTAAGATGCTTATGTATTTTAATATAGAGATGCAGCTTTTTTTAAAGAAACTTACAGAAAACCCAATGTGCTTAATAGTGTATGCAGGGAGAGTAGGTGCTAGCTAAATCCACGCTCCAGAAAAATCAAAAAGAAATTAGAAAAGCCTTTGTCTGTACACTAAGGTGGTGAGAAGCATCAAGATTATTTCTTAACCCCAGAACTCGATTTGCGTATAGCTAGTATTCTAGTAGACAATGTCTTAACCATATATGATTTAAAGATAATTTGTGAATAAATTTTATGTCATCTGCATAATACAAAAGAACCTTAAGGAACCTGTTTACCTAAAATTCTCTGTGATTTAGATTGTCAGGGTGAAAGATAAGTATTTTCATTTTCAAACTAAACATAAGTGTCAAAGGTGTCTCATGCTGGGTTCCTAGCATGCTGGAGGTGGCGATGGGGAGAAAAGCCAGGGAGAGCAGCAAACTCATACGTGACCACAAGAGGGCAGGCCAATCTTCACTTTCTTAGGTTGGTATTGCCAAAATAGTGTCTTTTCTGGCTACCAAAACAAAACAAAACAAAAACAAAAACAAAAAAAAACAAGGGGAGGGAGTTGTGGCAGTGAAAGTGAACTTCTCAGAACCAGAATACGAAGGATGAAGAAATCCACCAGCTGTGGCTCCAGCTTCCGGAGACTGAGGATCCAAAGCCACCGAGAGGTTTCTGTTGGGCAGGAAAGACTCTCCCCGGAGGGTAATGTTCCGGCGATGTCCTAATTACTTGGACTGGGCCACCTTCGGGCTTCTGACAAATAAAAATTGGCCTCTGGGAGAAAACTGCACACCCCAGGAAGGATTTGAATGCTATCATAAAACTTCTTGGTCTTCTGGGTTGGTGAGTGGCCTGGGACTAGAGAGCCCAGGGAGAAGACTTGCCTTAGGTTAAGATACAATGTGAGTCAGTGCTCACCAGAATCCAAGCCCACGTCCTCCATTCAGTGTTTTCAACTGATAAAGGAGGGATTCTGGACAAAGGTACAACACAGCGCATTTAGCCTAAGCTACTCACCCATTCCTATCACAGGGCACGACTCCCCAGAGATCCAAGCCATCCCTTGTTAAGGTACCTGTCTGAACAGGAAGAAAAAAAAAAGCAGCTGAGTGACGCTGAAGACCCAGCTGGCCTGTAGTGAAGGCCATGCTACCAGAACATGTACGTCCCCACACACAGTCAAGGTCAGCACCTCAAGGACAGGCTAGTCAGGGAGAACGTGGAGTCCTGGGCACGAGTCAGAAGACTTCAAGTGGTCTTTCAAGCTGGCCCTTAAGCCCTTTGAACTTAAAAGCACCCCAGTTACACATGTCAAAGGATTACTTTTGAGGTTCTATGGGCAGAATGAATGGATGGGAAGATCTGTGGTAAGCTTGTGATGGGTAAAACGGGTGAACCCCAGTTTTCAGAGAAGTTCAAAAGAGGTCATCAGAAATAAGTAATAGGGTAGAATTTTTACCTAAATGTTAAAGTGCATGGAAGACTCTAAAGAAATGATTTGCTATTTTTAAAACTTACGTATTCCATTGTTTCAAAGAGAGGAGAGAGGTGAGAGAAAGAAAAAGAAAGAAAGAGAGCTTTTTTTCACTTGCGGGTTCACTCCCCAAAGGCCTGCCAACAGCTAGGAGTGGGCAGGGCTGAAGCCAGGAGCCAGGACTCAGACCAGGTCTCCCACTTGGGTGCCAAGAGTACAGTCACCTGAGCCAGTACCTCTTGTCTCCCAGGGACTGCATGTAGCAGAGAGGCTCTTAACGGTCAGGACAAATGCTCCCTCCCTCGTTTACTATTTGACGTTTCCTTGGTTAAAGATGTTTACTGGAATTTCTCTCAAGACGTTGTGATGATTAAGAAAGAGTTCAGACTAGGTTCAAACAGCAGCTGTGTGACCCCAGGCAAATTACCTAATCCCTCAGAACATCAGAGCAGGGTTCAGTAACATGGTTGTAATCACATAGAAGATTTTGTGAAGATTAAGAAAATTAATACAGATAGCACACTCACTCTCCAAAATAATGTAAAAGCTAAGCATAATGATAACATAATTATTGGTTATTTTTAGTTTAAATGCATGTGACATTTATCTTTCTCTCACGTCTATATCTTTTCCCAACTCCAAGGATATTATCTATAAATAGAATGTATTTCCTAATGATTATAAAATATTGAAATAATGTCAAGAGCCTTGTTTATCACCTGTTATTGGTAGACTTTTTAACTTTTTATTTTAGAGTAGTTTTAAAGTGAAATAAGTGCCATTGTATTCTTAGAATTATATCTACAAACTACACTAAATCTATTGTTTTTATGACTAGCATATGAACATGAGAAATTTTGAGGATTGGGCTATAGTAACTATTATATATGTACTGTGATGCTGAGAATCTGATATATTAATAAACTCCTTAAAACTACATTTAACTTTTTTATAAAAGAATAGTTTTAAATTTACAAGTCAAAAATGCAAAAGTAGGGGGCCCAGAGGCGTGGCCTAGCGGCTAAAGTCCTCTCCTTGAACGCACCAGGATCCCATATGGGCGCCAGTTCTAATCCCGGCAGCCCCACTTCCCATCCAGCTCCCTGCTTGTGGCCTGGGAAAGCAGTCAAGGACGGCCCAAAGCCTTGGGACCCTGCACCCGTGTGGGAGACCCGGAGGAAGTTCCGGAAGAGGCTCCTGGCTTCGGATCGGCATAACATCGGCCGTTGCGCTCACTTGGGGAGTGAATCGTCGGACGGAAGATCTTCCTCTGTCTCTCCTCCTCTCTGTATATCTGACTTTCCAGTAAATAAATAAATCTTTTTAAAAAATGCAAAAGTAGTACATTATGATAAACTAGGCATTACAGAGTCCCAATCCCATTGGTTCTCTGCTACCAAAACCTTCCATGTATTCTTTACCAAGCATAGACTTTGGGAAAATGCAGAGGTTTTCTCAAGATGAATGATGATTATGGCTGTAGAACACTGAGAATGTACTTAATGCCAATAAGTACATTAAGTACATTCTCACTGTACTATGAAATGGCTGAAATTGTAAATTTTGCATTGAATTTGCAACAATAAAAATATTAAAGGAAAAACATGGCAACAACAAATAACCTTTACTGTCTCTTCTCGGCTCAGAGTGTGTAGAAATTCTTACGCAGATGTGCAAGACCCACAGACACCATCTCCCATCACTAATGCCCTTCTCCTGTCAAAACCACACACTCTGCTTTGCCGTGGCCACCTATCAGCAGTCCCTTGCAGTTCTGTTGCATCTCCGCACAGCCCCACCTTCATCCCAGCACATGTGTCTGCAGGCTACAGCAATACTCTCAAGAGAGGTAGAACGCGGTTCATAATGGCAAATACTCAACCGTAATTTTAAACAATTGAACTACCGATGGGAAAATGAAATAATGGCTCATGTGGGCATTTGTGTAATCAAATCTCATAGCAAGACACAGTTTAATAAACTCTCCTTTTTTACTCACTCATTAGTGCAATAGCTATTTATTGAGCACTGTCTATAGGACAGGCAGTATTTTTAGCATCAAGGATACAGTGGTGACCAGAGTGAAGGGTTTAAAATTTGTCCTTCAAATGAGGATTCTGACTGTGGCGTGACAGGATGCTTTTCATAAAATATCAAAGTTGGGAAGACCCTCCAAGAGTCACCTATTCCATACCTATTACCTCTTCTAAACTGCAAAATCTGGGAGCTCAAACAACTATCTGTCCCAGAACACACCAAGCAGAAGTTGGTATAGAGATTTTCTGCATTTCCTGCCTCCTGTGAGGGCTAAAGCACCTATTCGAGCTGCCCAGGACAACAGAAGCACACATACCTTGTCAAAGCAGACAAGGTTTAACTGTCCACATACATTGATCCTCTGCGGGCTAATGCAGAAGATGCCTCTCTTCCTCAGCCTCCTCTGGGCATAGATGATGCCTGTGGTCAGAGCAGCAGGGAGAGCTGGGGGAACTGCGATTGTGATAACATCGAGGGCTTTCTTCACCACCTCTTCAGGAGGTTCCTAGGAGACAGTCAGAAGCAGCAGTTAGGTGACTCCGTGCAGTGGGTTTGTGCCTTCCACTTTTTTCCTGTTTGCTTCCTTAGGCTGGATTCTGAGACATGGTTTCAGTGGTCAAAGGGTATGAAGATGTATTAATTCAACATATTTGTCTACTAGCTTCCCAACACCTCACCAGCTCTGGCTTGCTGAACTTACTCGAAACCCCTCACTTAATAGCTGCCAAATAAGCTTAACAGAAACAAAAGCTTTCTGAAATTGAAAATCTAAAAATCTTGTTTTAAAAAAGTGTGAGGGAGAGCCCATGTTGCGGTGCAGCAGGTTAAGGTAATATCTGTGATACTGGCATCCTGTATCAGAACACCAGTTTGAGATGCAGCTACTCCAGGTTCGGCTCCTTGGTGATGCATATAGAAAAGCAACAGAAGATGGTCCAAGTGCTTGTGCCTCTGCACCCATGTGGGAGACCCAGATGGAGTTCCTGGCTCCTGGTCTCCAACTGGCACAGTCCCAGACTTTGTGGCCATCTGGGGAGTGAATCAGCAGGTGGAAGGTTTCTCTTTCTCTCCCTCCTTTCCCTCCTCCTCTTCCACTTTGCATTTCAAATCAATAAATTTTTCAAAAAAATTAAAAGTGCAAGAGGAAAGTATGCAAGAGTAAAAACGTGACATTCAACACACCATCTTACCTCACTAGTCCATGAGAGCTAAACTGTTACATCACTCAATGATCACTTGTATGTTGGGGAAATGGGAGTCTATAAGCAGGCTTTAGTATTTGACTTTGTTAGTAAACCATGTCCTGGAGTAGAGTCAACATGGACAGCATAAAGCATGTAGAGATGATTGTCCAAAAATATGCATGTGTGTGCATGATAGCAAAGGCAGCTTACCCCACTGAGCACAAAAACACAGAGCGTGTAGATCATGCCAATGGTGGCCGTCCCTATGAGGCACAGGAGGAACCTAATGGCATCCCTGTACAGCTTAAAATTCATTGGCTTTGGGTAGAGAATTGATCTCACGAGATCCCCCTTGGCAGTGTTGAATCCTGAAAAGCAAGCACACACATACACACCCTTCAGCCTTTCTCTGCTGCTGCCTTGTTCAAGGTCTTTAAGCAGTGTTTGCCCTCGAAGGCAGCTGAAAGATCCTTAGGAGAAGGCACAGTGGTTGAAATGGAACTTGCTTCTCTCTCTTGAAGCCAGCTAGCCTCCCTAGGCTTCCAAGCCACTGCTTCCCATTTCAATGCAATCCAGAAATAGGAAAGAACGAAACAGGTGACAAGACATAACTTTTCCAAATATAGCTTTAGCTTAAGGAACTGATTCGTAATGTGCACAAGCATGCATGCACACAGCTCAATTCAATTAAACTTAGGTGACCCATTGAACAATGACAAATCTGCCCTTCTGACACTGATCTGTATTATCAGTTTCTGATCATCCCTATGTAGAAAGAATTTGGGATTTGGACTTAGAAGACCTGAATCTCATGCCCAGCTCTGTCACTGGTTAGGTCATTTTTTTTCCCTAAAATTCACCTGAAACATGTGGCCTCAGCTTACTAATATGCAAAGCAGGGACACACAGTATTTTGCCCTGCCAGATGTAATATTGGAAATCAAGGATAAAGCGCAAAGCACACAAAAAGTATATGCCCTGGCTCAACTGACAATTAGAATATATTCATTTACATGTAGTTGCCTTGTTATCTAAAGACTGCTCCTTATATAAACATTTCTTAATAAATACAAGCTACTGGATACCTTAGCTGAGATTATTTGATTAATGGTGACAAGAGCAAGAAAGAGGCACTAACCGGTTTGTAGCACCACTGCTCTCACATTCCCGGAACAGGTGGCCTTGACCTGGATGACCTCTGTCCCACAGAAGAGGACATGCCGCTTGTAGTCTGCTTCACTCTGTGTTTTCCAGGGTGCAGAGCTATCCATCTTGGGCAATGGAGTTTTGGTGACTGGAATACTTTCTCCTACAGAAAATAAGACTCTCATTTCCAGAGGTGAGATGCCTCATTCGTTCAAATCCAGCCAGCACTCACTCACCATGCAACTGACATTTGTGGCAAACTTGCCATCAGACAGACATGACCCTGGGTGCTGAGAGTATAAGGAGAAGACACCTCTTGCTGTTAAGAGGCCTCTAGTTGACAGTGGGAGAAAGACATACACACGGAGAAGAATATAATCTGTAATGTCCGTGTCTAGTGCTATGCTCCAAACATGAGAGTTAAAATAGACAAGAAAAACAGCTGTGCAGTCTCACATGGAGGGAGGTGTTGGAATCAGAGGCCGTGGGAGCGCTGTAAGAGAGTCTGAAATGTAACGTTCACCAGCACTTCAACGTTTTCCTATAGGACAGGGGACTATTGAGCTGTTTCACCCTCAGAGAACTAGCCCAGGTGCGTAGGAGAGCACTCTATCCTCAGTGTGGGAAACAGTGGGGTCTGGTGGAGTCGAAGGCTACATGTGCAGTTGGGAAGTGATCACCAAAGTCCCACAGGAGGGATGGTGGTCTCCATCATGGCAGCTCGCAATCAGAATTGACAAAAAGGGCTGGGTTCAAGAAATAAGGAAATAAGAAGCCACAAAGCTTGAGGAAACATTTCTATTGACCGATCACAGGGACAGAGGAATTAAAATTTATTTCCTTGTTCCTGATTTAAGAGGTGAGGCAGAGGGTGGCATTATTACTCATCAGCAGAGGGATTCTAGAGGAGGAGGAATTGTCCTTCCGGCCACTGTGACTTGGAGCCGCCTTAGAGAATGATGGTGTTGAGATGCCTTGTAGTCAGTTACCTGTTACCTCTTTATATGAGCCCAGGACTTGGAGAGCACTTTATCTTAAAAGTTAGCACAAGAGAATTTTCAGAAAACATGAACAGGATAGTCAAATGCAACAGAAAGATCAGTAGGGGGGGAAATTAAAGAATCCACTGAATCTGGCACGTGGGATGACCTTGGGTTGAAGTGTGAATGCCACATAAGCAACAAAGTTGTGAAAGCCAACTGTGGCCTATTCAGGGATTGCACCTGGAAAGCCTTCTGCTGTCTTGCAGAATGGGGCAGAAGAAAGTAAGTTACGGTACCAAAGCATAGGACTTCCTACATATGGAAAATAGGCGTCGGCAGTACTGATGTCCTAGCATTCTGGGATTTGTATGAATCCATGAGTTTCTAAGCAAAAGATACTTGACCCACAAAGAAAGGAAATGGGTGCTTTTGTCTCCGTTTCATGCCTTCCTGGTCTGCTGAGAGAAATGGATTTGTCCGGATCCAGACAAGCAACTGGAAACATCACTGTGCTTTCTGAGATGCCCAGGTCTTCTCTGAGGAACACTATGATTCTTCATCTGACAGAAAGGCTGGCACAACACCTCCCACAGAGCTCTGCACATGCACTTGAGCACGTCACTCCTCTTTGAGCTTCAGTTTGCACATCTAGAGGGCTGAGGTGGCCTCTCAGGACCCTCCTGGCTCCAGCACACGGTGTAGCATTTTTTATTCATTTTCTTTAATTTTGCATTTAACTGACACATAAAAAAACTGCATATTTCTGGGGTGCCATGTAATGTTTCTATACATGTATACACTGGTTGACCTCCAGTCAGGGAAAGGATTTTTGAATGTGTTCATCACAAAGATGCCTTAGGAGTCACCACAAACTCAAATGCCTGAGGAGATGGAGATGTGTAGCTGCACCCTCTCTAAAAATGAAATAGTTAGTCCAAAAAAATCTCACTCTGCCAGCTGTGTCACCATGAACTTTCCACACGTTTAAGCTAAGTAGAAAGAGCTTGGACTTGATCCAAACAATTTCAGAATGCCATCGATGGTTTTCAGACACTCCAAAATGTATTTGAAGACATATTGTATGTCAAAAAAAATTATGCTCAAAAGACACAGACAATTCTGAAAGAGCTGATCAACTCTACAACCTTTTAGGATACAAGGAGAGGTCGTCACAATTCTTTCTAAATGCTAACCACTCAGTCACGACGGTATGACACTCAATACTTAGATTGTGACTTTTGCTTCCACTCTCATATTCATCCAAGTAGGACTAAGGGATATTGGAAATAGAGGTCCCAGAGGAGTAGGGCAAGAGCACCACAGCACTGGGACCGTCCAGGGCTATGGAGACAGATGCTCACCTGTCAGCATCCCTTCATCCACCACACAACTGCCGTCAATCAGCAGGGCATCACATGGCATCTGCACTTTGTTCCCTGTCAAAATCAGTACATCTCCAGGCACCAGGAAGCGTGATTCCAACTCCTGGACTCCATCTGAAAACAAGCCACAGAGATGAGGAGATGTTTTCCCAAAAGATCTGCTCCAGCTTTTCTCAATGTTGGAAATCAATTAAAAGGTAGCCAGGAGACTTTTAAAAAAATATTTTAGAAGAAGAATATTTTTCAACACTTAGTCAAAATATGGAAGCAAAAAAAAAGTACACAATACACAATGTAAATGGCAACCTTTGTGTGGGAAATAAAGATTAATGACAAATTCAGAAAATATTCTAAAGTTTATAGATAAAACATTAATATTCCTAATATATTAAAAAAAACTCCTTGAAAAAGAGATGTATTTCAATTAACTGTATAGAAAATTTACTAAATAAGAACAGATCCTGCACACAGAGCAAAAATACTTAGACACTTGAAAAGGTGCTAGTTCCTTCCTGATTTCCTCCTTGCCTGCCTGGGCTTTCTTCCTTCCTTACACAATGTCAGGGATCATGGCTCTGTGCGAGACAGGCAGCCATGGAGCGGCTCCTGAGACGGGGGCAGCCTGATTGAATGTGGAGTCAGTAGGATGGAAGGGTGTTTACATGGCTCAGTACAGAGTGGCAGAGCCTGGCAGATAGCACCATGTTATGGGATGCTGGGATCTCCTCAGGGTGAAAAAGGTGAGAGTGGGATAAGAATCAGAGAGAGTGCCAGCAGTGATGGAAGATAGATTACATTCAAGCAGATATGATACAATGATGAGATACATTGAAGTTAATTAGATACAGATATCTCATTAAATACAGGAAGTTACAAATATAAAAAATTATTTTTTTACAAAAAAAAACCCTATGGTATTGGTTTAGAATTAGAATGTGTGTGTGTGTATGTCTATGTGTGTTACATGTAACAAAGATAATGCAATTTTAATTGTGTATAACAATGTCTGTGTGTGTTTATAGAAACTGAACTTATAATAGGTAAGATATGGAATCAACCCAGAAATCCATCAACTGATGATTGGATAAAGAAAATGTACTACATAGATACTGTGGAATATTAGTCAGCCATAAAAAATGATCCACTGTCTATTGCAACTAAATGGGATGCAACTAGAAACCAGTATGCCTAGTGCAATAAGCCAGCCCCCAAAAGACAAATACATTTTTCATGATCTGTGATAACTAATACGGAGTACAAAGAAATGTAATCTATATGAGGAGATTGATATATGGGATTTTGATTTTGATTTGCAATCTTTGCTTGCACTCCTGAGGAATAATAGGTTAGGTTTTTTTTCCTGCTTGCTATATGTTAATATCTTTAACTAATGAAGTGTTAAGCCTGTGCTTGCCAAGTGAAATGAACACATACTACTCTAAACATTAAGGGGAAAAAGGAAGTAAGGACGAACGAGGGTGTGGGGAATGTGGGTGGGAAGGCAGGTCAGTGGAAAGTATCACTAAGCTTCTATATCTGTATTATGAAATACAGGAAGTTAGTTCACTTTATAATCATTTCAGAAAAAATTAAAAACAAAACACACAAAAAAGTGTACATAAACACACACACATAATGTTTACTACTCCATTTGCTTGTGCATATCTTCTGTCACATGTAAGAGCTTAATATCAGCAAAAACCCAGTAACAATAAGCATATCCATTTGTCCAACTTGTGCTTTACAAATTCCATTAACTCAAAAAAGAACAAAATTTCCTAAGAGGAATGTCGTATTGCAAGGCTAGACCTGGAGAAGTATAATGGAAGCAAGACTATTTTCTTGTGCCAACACGTAGGGAAGCACTGGGAACAGATGAAAAATATATCAAAACCAACTTAAAGAGCTCTCTGTGCCTCAGTCTGCAGCAGGTTGATAATGCTAACAAAGAACTACAGCCGTTGAATACAATACAGAATGCAGGAGCCCATCACATCATAAGTGAGGAGAAAAACAGGCTTTCCTTCAGCAAAATGGCAATTATTGAATGTAGAAAGACAAAATTAGAAAATCATTATTTGGAAAGTATCAAAGTAGTAATTAATTTAGCCGAGAGACATCAATGAATACTCAAATTAAGAAGTAAAAATTCTGTGGTCTGTTTATAAAGTTTCAGAGTATCTCTTAACGAAATAACTATTAATTACCAAGAGCAAGAGAGTACACTGACAATTTTGGAGGAACGATTTAATTAAGTAATTCAAGTCAACATTGACACTAACAGAACAAATTTAAATTATGTGTCACCTTAGAGGAAGTAGAGAGAATGCAACATTACACCTGTGATAGGATATCCAACAACGCATAACCTGAATTTATAAGAAACATCAGATAAATTCAAAGTGAGAGACATTTAGCAAACATTAGGCAAATCAAAATTGGGGGATACAGAGCTGAGCTGATCTGAAGCCAGGAGCTTCTTCCATGTCTCCCACATCGGTGAAGGTTCCCAGGGCTTTGAACGATCCTCTACTGCTTTCTCAGGCCAGAAGTAGGGAGCTGGATGGGAAGTGGAGCATCTGGGATTAGAACCAGCACCCAGGTGGGATCCCAGCACAGGAGTGTTGAACTTCAGCCACTAGGCTACCATGCCAGGCTCCACCTATTAGGTTTTTTTGATAGAACCATGCAGACAACTATTTTGAGCGACTTTAAAGTGTAATATTTTAGAATTAATTATATAAGAGTGAAATTAACATTTTTCATTTAATTGTTTTTCATAATCCTTGTTTATGTTACTGCTGCCTTTTAGCCGTATTATTGTTACTAAACTCTTTATTTAATAGACCATTAAGTCTTTGATTATCATGTAAATTAAAAATGTGCTATCTCAGAGCTGGCGCTGTGACACAGTGGGTTAAGACACTGGTGTCCCATGTGGGCGCTGGGTTGATTCCGACTGCTCCACTTTCAATACAGCTCCCTGGAAAAGCAGCAGAAGGTGGCCCAAGTGTTCAGTTCCCTGCACTCATGTGGGAGACCCAGATGAAGCTCCTGGATCCTACTTCAATATGGCTCAGCCTTGACTGTTTCAACTCTCTGGGGGAGTGAAGCAGTGAGTGGAAGAGATCTCTGTGTGTCTCTTTCTCTCTCTCTTCACCTTTAGCCTCTGCCTCCCCCCACCACCCTGTTACTCTGCCTTTGAACTAAATAAATAAGTCTTTTTAAAAGTGGATTGCCCCTAAAATAAAAAATGAAAGAGAAAAAAAAGACAAAAGAGAGAGGAAGGAAGGAAGGAAGGACAGTAAGTATTAGTCTACTCAGAATAGTATCTCTGAACTACATTGAATCTTTCCTCTGTGTTAATATCTTACTAGGCTGAGAATGGAAAAACATCTGTGTGATGAATTTTCCAAGAGTAATATTTAGTATCACACTGGGATATCACAAAAAGGGACAAGCAAGAATTCCAAAGCACAATGGTTCTTGAGTGCTTGCTCACCACTCAGAGCTCTTGGATATAATGAAGAAAAGCAAGTGATTGCATTCATGTCTTGACAGTAAGAATTTTTGGTTATATAAAAAGGAGTGATCTGAGTACAAGCATTAAAGTCAGGTAAAATTCCAAACATTTATAAAGTTGAGCTAGCATCATTGTAAGTATGAGCATAATTTATTTTATCCTTAAAAATTATTTCCCAAATATATTGTTAGATGAAGCCTGGAAATCATCACTAACACCATTACAATAAAGTAATCTACAGAAAGACTGAAAAAATAGATGCACCCAGGATTGGAGCAAAGATTTTTCAAATGAATCTAATAAAGCTCTCAATGATGATCAGGGTCATGGTAAACTTGGGGTACTATTTTAAAGAGGCTCTCAATGATCAAACAGGACAATTTGAACAAAAACAGGAATAAAAACTAAGATAGATGAAAATGCATCAACCATGTCTAACGTTAGCACTTTAACAATGTCTCAGATGTTAAATGATCCAACCCTTAATATGAAAGCTATTTAAACAAAAGAAACAATCAAATATTTGTCTTACTTTCTTAAACTGAGTCTCGGGGTAATGAAAGAGTTGAATAAAGATGTTTCTCCTTATAGAAATAATCTACCTTGAATATATAATGGTGTGAGAGAAGTAAAAATGAATTATTTTCTTTTTTTAAAGATTTATTTTTTTATTGCAGTCAGATATACAGAGAGGAGGAGAGACAGAGAGGAAGGGCTTCCATCTGTTAATTCACTCCCTAAGCTGCTGCAACAGCCGGAGCTATGCTGATCTGAAGCTAAGAGCCTGGAACCTCTTCTGCATCTCCCACGCAAGTACAGGATCCCAAGGATTTGGGGCCATCCTTGACTGCTTTCCCAGGCCACAAGCAGGGAGCTGGATTGGAAGCAGGGCTACCAGGATTAGAACTGGCACCCATATGGCATCCTAGTGCATTCTAGACGAGGACTTTAGCCATTAGGCCACCGTGCCAGGCCCAAGGCTAGTGCACTTTGAGGCAGGTGTGATTTTTTTTCTTGCTTCTTCTCTTTACCCTGTCTGGAAATATGTTTAGATTTTCCTTCATTAGCATCTTTAATATAACATTCACAGATGTGAATGGCACGTGAGACTATGTCTAAAATGCCAACTATTGACATGTGGAGCAAGGAGGAGCCTGTGCAGTGAATGATGGAGCCTTTCACCTCTACTCTGATGGTGCTATGCTCACTGTAAGGGAAATTATTCATCTTTGTGCTAAGGAGCACTCTACCTGCAACTTCTTTTTCTAATTTAACACATGCTGATTGATGGGATTCTCTGCTGTAGGGCCCAACGACTTCTCAGGATGGCGATGACAATCTGGGGGACACAGTCATTCCAGTACCAACTAGAATTTCCACCTCATGAGACGGGTAGAGATTGACAAGCCTAGGACATGTAAGGCCTTATGCTCTTAATCAGTAAGAAGTAGCTACAGAAGATGTGATGAAGCTACATTCTTCATCAACCCTTAACATAGGGGGCCAAAAATCTCTGATGAGGGAACCAAATCAGACAGACAAATAGTAGCTTAGAGTTATGAACTGGAAACCATAACTCCAACCCCCACATGACCCCTTCTTCAGAATGTACTTCCCCCACTCGGAACTTGAGCAATGGTATCATGGTACCATGAGCCTCCTCTTTCTGGGCTCGCAGGAGGCCAGGCAACAGGGAGGGATGCTCTCTTTCTTTTTCCCACAAGCACAAGATGAAAGCTGAAAGATCTCTGTCCTGTCTTGCTCCTTCCTGTCCACTCTAACCCTGAATGTGTCACAGGTGTATCTGGGATTTACTCACCTTTTAAACAACTGGAAAGATATATCATAGCCATATGTTATGAATAAATTAATGCCCCAAAGATCAAATTATAGCTTCAGTATAAATCAAATCAAAATCCTGTCATTTTATTTAAAAAAATAACAAGTTATTTGTAAAATTGATGGACATAATATTCTATATCAAAACTTATTATGAGGCTATTTTTGTGGCAGTGGTAAATATATCAATAGAATAGGACGCAGAGCCCCAAAATACATCCACTTGTATATGTACAACTGATTCTTTACAAAGATGCAAATGCAACCACTAGATTAATCTTTTAACAAACATTAAGGCATTTAGATACCTACTTGAAAAAAATAAACTTCAGTCCCAAACAAAAAAAAATTGATTAATCGAAACAGAGAAATCAAAATAAAATATAAAACTCAATAAATACCTAAAACTACAAAGCCTTAGGAAACAATATGAAAAATTGGTAACCTTGAGCAAGCAAAATTTTCTTGGTTATAAAATCAAGAATGTGATTTGCAAAAGAAAACAAATTATAGACTAGATTTAAATGTAGAGTGTGTTTTTAGAGAAATGCTGTGAAGAGGATGAAAACGTAAGTCATGGACTAAGAGAGGCTATTTGCAAAGCATGTTTCATACAGGACACAACAAAACAATCATATGAAAAGTCTTGAATAGACATTTTATAGCATAAGAGGTATAACAATAGATAATAAACACTTGAGAAGATGTTCGAGGCCATCAGTCACTAGGTAGATACAAATGAAAATGACAATGAGATCATACTATATTTGAAGGTGTCTAAAACTAAGAAAGATTAACCATATCAAGTGTTGGTGAGAGTGTGGAGCGACTAGAACTCTCATCCCGCTGCTGATGGCAATGTAAAATGGTACAGTCACCTTGGAAAAAGTTTGACAGCTTCTTGAAATGATAAACATATGCCTACCACATGACCCAACCATTCTACAGCCAGTTATTTCCTGTAAGAAATGAAATTGTGTGTCCATGCAAAGACCTGTGACCACAATGGCATAGCAATATTATCTGCAACAGCCCAAACTGGAAAAAATTCCAAATACTCATCAGTGTGTGAATAGATGGATAAATTGGTGTTACCATGCAACGGGATACTCTCAGGCATAAAAAGGAAAGAATTATCAGCACTTGTAATAAAATGGATAGAGTGAAAGAAATTTATAAACTCTGCTGCTCAAAAATGAAAACAAAATAAGTAATAAGTACAAAATGCATACTGCACAGCAGCACTTGTGTAAAATTTCCAAAAATGAAAGCTGATCTAACATAACAGAAGACAAGTAAGTGAATATCTGAGTCTGGTGGGAGAGGAGGAAGGGCTGAGAGGTACTATAGACAAGCACAGGATACCCATAGGTGTGGTCAATCAAATTATCTTGACTGTGGGGATGGCTTCATTGCTATTTATTTTGTATCAAACAATACATCATAAATAAGATCCATTTATCATATGCCAATTCCATTTCAATAAAATTATTTTTAAAGGTCAAAAATATACTAAATGCTACACTTTCATAAGAAAATGCAAAAAAAAAAAAGGTACATATAACGAATGGAGTAGTAGCAACAATCAGAAACACAAATTTCAGTGCTTTTCTGATTCCATATACAAACCACATAGATCTGTAACAATGGATCTTACCTTTTCTTCCCAAAACAGAGACTGTAATGCTATTGTGTGACTCAACTAGACGATGGAGTTTTACAGATTGCTGAAAAAGAAGAAAAAAGAGGAAAGCCTTATCTGCTTGAGTAGAGATGTCAGATGTTTTACTCTGTAAGGTGCCCACTTTATTTAAAGATAACTCAGTTTCCAGCTGAATACACTCTTTATAAACAAAACAGTGAGCACGCTACCCTTCAACAGAAAAAGCTTCCAATTTGCTGTGCTCCTCTCCGGGCCAAAAAAAAAAAAAAAGGTGTTCTTCAGCAGAAACATGTTCCCACACATGCTTTTCTAGTCAAAAGGAGTATTTAAAACACACACACACAAATTTGTGTTCAGTTAAGTAGGTGCGTGTCATTGAGAATACATCATTCAAAATGTGTGTTTGTACCTACATAGTTTAAAGGACCAAGTGTCCTTGCAGCTTTGAGTTGTCCCATTTTATAGTCTCCAGTCAATTAACACTTAAGGAGTTTGGTAATTCCTGCTGCTTCCTCATGGTATTTATTGTTCTAGTACAAGAAACATATGGAGTAATGAACACACAAAAAAATAAAATTGTATCTATTTCTACACGTATTAAAAAAAAAATAGATCTTCCAACTGATTTGGGGCGTGAAAAGTACCCATCATTCAGTGTGTTCAGTTTTCTCCTGATTTTCAAATAAGACACTCTACATTTCCTGACTTAATATTATTTGCAAATAATATTTATGTATTCTAAAAATGATTAGCAGATATAAAGTCAAAGACGGGGAGTTTGCTATCAACTTTTCCATTTACTCATTTGTGCATTCACTCAGCATTTATTGAGCAGCCTGTTCGTGCTCCGGAAACTCTGCTAAGAAATCGGATAGAACGGTAAAGAGAAGATAGAGCCTTCTACCATTAAGGGACATACACTGTCTTGAGAAAATGCATCTCAATGCAATATTCTACATGAATGCATGATCACAATCAGCAACGAGATGAGACTAAAAGCTCCAGGACTCTGTGGAGCAACAGGAACAAAGAAAGTTTTCCCTGAAGAGGTAATATTGAATCTAACACCTGAGTAGGAGTCATTTTAGTCAAAGGAGTGAAGGTAAATTACGAAGATGCAAAGAAAGGGCAATTCCAGGTGACATGTCTCCATGTGCTCATGTAGCCACAGAAAGGACTATGTTTCAGGAAACAAGGACTGCTATGGTTAGAAGGCAAGAAGTACAGAGGAGGCTTGGGTGAATTCAGGAAGGAGAGCTAAGCAAGACCAAATGTAAGCCACAAGTGCAGTCAGAGCAGTTCAAGCTACAAGAACCACCAGCAAGTTACAGGTGCAAGAGGAGCAGGGTACTCTGACTGCACTCTGAGAATCCCTCAAGGTCTGAAGGGATTTTCTCACAGGGGCTGAGAACTCAAAACTATTTCCATAAATAAGATATTTGTATCCCATCCAAAACTGTAACGTTCCAGATACCAGAAAACTGAAAAAACTTCTCAGAATCTTAAGGTAATGGTGAGGTTCAGAAGTTAACGGTGACAGGAGCCAACAGTAATACTTTGCAGGAACTTGGTCAGTGAGAGCATGTGAATAATCATGATTTGGGTTTATATTTCAAAATGGTGGTTCAGGGAGGCTAGTTTTGTAGTTGAGCAGATTAAGCCACCATTTGCAACAATCAGCACATCGGTTGTTCTTCAAGCCCAGTTACTATGTTTCTCAGCCTTTTGGCTAAGATCAAGTGTACTATGTTTCCAATCCAGCATCCCTACTAATGCACCTGGCAGAGCAGCAGAAGATAGTCTGAATGCTTGGACCCCAGTAAGCCATGTAGGAGACCAGGATGGTGTTCCTGGTTCCTGGAGTAAGCCTGACACAACCTCATCTGTCTCAACCATTTACAGAATGAACAAACAGAGGCTCTCTCAGTCTCTCTGTTTCTCTCTCTCTCTCTTCCTGTCATTTTGCCTGTCAAAAAAATAAATCTTAAAATAAATGTAGTTCACCCAATTGCACGGAGACTGGATTAGAGGCAGGCAAGAACAAATGTAGTGAGACAAACTGGCAGGCAATTGACAGGCAGGGGATGGTAACTTGGACAATGTTGGTAGAGCAAGAAAAGTAACTAACACTAGAACCATCAACAGAACCGGTCATATGACTGGCAAAAAAGGAAAAACGATTTTAAGAATGGGATGGCAGGCAGATTCCAGGCTTTTGCAAATGAACAGTCAGTGGTATCATCAAACCAAAGAAGCCTAATGAGCAGATCTGGGGAGGAATTCTTGAGTTCAGTATTGACTGCATTGAGTTTAAGGTAACATTTTAGTTATGAGAATGGGGATATTAAACCATCTATTTGAGCTTTGTTTTTAAGGTGGAAGAGGTTCCAAAATATCCCATGCTGATGAAAGGAGTCTCAGGCAGAATGAGAAAGAACTCACAGACTGCATGAGCTTCCCAGTAGGAGGAGAGAGGAGAGCATCTTAAGCCGGCAGAGGGCCCTTCCTCCACCACAGTGAGGAGTGAGTACAAGAGGAATGTGTGGAGGTGCATGTCTGGGTCTGTGAGCGTGGGGAGTTGGGCAAATTGTCCAGTGCCTCCCATCTTCTCTGTGAAGTAAGTGGTCAGATAATCAGTTGAATCCTACAGAAAGTGGAGTATAAAAAAAATAGGCATCCCAAAAAGTTAAAGAGATGACTTGGAAAATTAATTTCAAAGAATGAAAGAGTAACTTGAGTAACTTGCTCAGAGACATAGAAAGTTTACCTGTATGAGATGGGTAATTCATAGTTTTAGAGAGAAGTCAATCATGTCTTCTCTGGGATTATTTTCCAGTAGTGCCTAGACCCTCTGGTGCCTAGCAAAGTCAGGAGCTGAATCAGGACCTTGACAAATGAGTGTCAGTCAAACGTGAAGTGCAGGGGAACGCATGTTGAAAAGGTGCCTCTGCCTTCTAACCTTCTAGCCTTCACCATCTTCAAGGTCCTCAGTATTCTATATATTTTTAAATTTACAGTTACTTCTTGAGCCTTTGCATTTAGGGGAAGAGGTGGCTAATCATCCCTGAGTAAAATAAAGACAGGGGAAAAAAACTTGAGGTCAGAGCTTAAAACGAAGAGGAAGAGATGGGACCAGCTTGCTGAGTATTAGTGACTGTGCTAAACATTTGCAAACTTGATCTCAACCAATATGAAGTGGGCAAAACTATTTATTGGCTTTCCTTTTTAGTAAAGTTTCAGTGAAGTAATTATTGCTGTCTCTCTTTCTTAAACTACAAAATTAATGGGAAAACTCACCTCTCTGAGATCATATACTGTCAAAGCTATGGAAATGATGGACATGATTATGATGGCAAAAGCATATTCCTTATAATCTTCACTAAACCATAGACAGACACTGAAGAGTTGAAATATGTAAAATGGATTTAGAACCTGTTAACAGACAAAAAATAAGAAGACAAGGGAGATATTTAGACTTCACACTTGGTAATTCATTGACCTGTTTGTTTCCATAACATCTCTTTGAGATGAGTCATCCCATGCAGTCTTACTATTATTATTAAATTTATTCAGCAATTACATCTGTCAGATACAGCAATAACAACTTTACCTAAATTTGTTCATTTAATTTCCGTGTAACCTTGTTAACCAGAAGCTATTGATTTACTACATTGTAAAGATAAAGAAATGGAGCCTTCAGTCTTGAGAAACTTGTCCCATCATACAGCTGTGATCAGCACTGAGTGGAGATTCAAATCAAGTCAATCTGATCCTAGAGCACTTATAAACACAAGTGCTACTGCCTTTTAAAACTTGCGAAGCAGCATGTCTTGTGTCATCATGGTGACCATCTCCAAACTGTCTAAGAAATAGATACAAATATTTTCCATTTATAATCACTAGACTGGAGAAAGCTGAAATTCTAGTTCAAGCATATGAAGTTGAACGATTGTCTTGGCTATCATTCTATTCTGTGGCATATTTCAGTCCCTTGAGGAGCTGTACAATAACAGACGAGTTCAAGATTACATTTTCCCAAACGTAGAAAGCTGAGTCAAAACTGGTAAGTTATAGTGGAATGTGGAGAAAACCATAAGGGAGAGACATTAACTCCATGAGTTGTGCTTCTGCTTTGTGGCCTGAATCACATGCTTCTGCATGGTTTCCATCAGGGCAAAACCAGCACGGTAGTTCTTGCTCCTACTGAGAGAGGAAGCATAAGAAAGCTCCTCTCAATTTGCTTCTCTTCCTTTCATGCTTCAAGATTTGCCGGAAGTATTGAGATGTTACTTTGACATTAGGAAACACTTTTTTTCAAGCAAGGACCAATGGGTGCCAAGTACAGAGAAAGTTCTAGAGCACAGCTTTGTGGCTATGAAACATGAGAAGGCCAGGGATGGAGTCCACATGGAACATTCGTCCTTCTTTCCCTCTCGTAACTACAATGAATTAGGTCAGTAGAACTTAGTAAGGTTAAATAGATGGTTTTATTCTTCCCAAAGCTTTAAATGCCAAGGAAACTGTGTATGTCCTTAAGAAAAAGATTATTTATATAATATTTATCATTTTAGCTTCACAAAACTGAAATGGGCGAGGTAGCAATAGTATTGCAAAAATTAGAAGAAAGAGAAGGAAGAAAGAGGGAGAGATGCAAGTAGGATGAAACAGCACGTATCCAACTAGACGTTAAATCACACAAGTACGCATGAGAGTCCCATTCTGCATTTTATTACACAATGAACAAAAGAGGCACTTCAAGAGAAAGAGAAGATAAGAAATATGAAAAATTCACTTGACAGTCTTTTTAAATACCTCAAAAATTAATCATTTATTAATAAGTAGTGCTACTGATTCTTTGACTAAAACAAAATTAATTTCTATCAAATACTGAGAGGAAATATTAAAGAAATTACCTCTTTGATGAGAAGTTTCCAAATTGGTGTTATTTCAACATCAATAGTGTTGGGTCCACATATTAACCTCCTGTAGGAGAAGAACACAGCTCACTTTGTTGCCAATAATGAACAATGAAACTCACTCTCACCCATTCAGAAAAGGCTCTACTCCATGCTTGCTAACTCACTTGTATGATCAACATAGCCCTCTCTTGTTTTGTAATATTTCAATCTTTTTCTGAACAACTGTGTTCCAAGTATTCAAAACAATAAACAAAACCATATTGCTTCTCTTGACCTAAATTTCCTTAAAGGTCTAATAACTTCCTCAAATGGTGATTTGGATATTGTATATCACCTATTCTTTCATTCAAGCAGTTTCAAAACTGACATGTTCCTGACTTTGTCTCTCCTGAATTTTTGATTCATGGAAGAAGGATGGGGAGGTCATTTAGAAAAAAATATACCATACCTATCATCCTACCCCAGTCCAGAAATGATAGAAATCTGCAGAATTTGTTGCAATATGAGGGGAAAGATCCAGGGCTCTCAATACATAGAATTACACGTCTGTCTAAAAGAAGACTCAGAGATGTGTTTTTTTGGTTATGTGGAAGACTGACATTTTGACTTATTTTACCTTTGCGAGAACTCTAATCACGCTCTGTACCTTTCACAGACCCTCAAATCCAAAAGCTTGGTAGAATGTGTTAGAGCAGGGCTCTCCAACTGGCCCATGCATAAAGCTGACTTGGTGACCTTATTGAAAAGGAAGGCTCTGGTCCATTAGGGGAGAGACCTGATCTGAAATTCTGTATTTCCAGCAAGCTCCCCAGAAGGTGCTGATGTTCCGTGACTCTAGGTGTTCCCAGAGCCCTGGAAACAGAGTGAGGAAGAATGCAAAAGTCACAGAAAGAGCCCCAGCAAGTCCATCACTCGGTCCCCCTGCCCTGTTCTACAGCTTGGAAGCCAAGGCCCAGAAGAAGACATTTGTTCAAAGCCACAGATGCACTCGCCATCCCAGTGGCCATCCTAAATCCTCTGCCTCATAACTGACTTGGAGTTCTGCAACAGCAAATCTTCCATGGAGTTCTTATGGGGCTCCCTAGCTGCTGTTGAAGCATGTAGGAGATAATGTATGTGAAAGCATCCAAATAGTGCTAAACAGAGCATCATGACATTTTCTGATGTTAAGCGATCGGCTAGGGTGATAACAGTTCTTTTAAGCTGCATGAGCAACAGTTTCACAATACCTAATTTCTTGTTCTTCTCTTGTTAGACCTGATCCAAACCTTAGGTGTATCTTGGCAGAACTGAGCCAATCTTCCAAAGAACTAGAATAATAATAATAATTAGATGAGCATATTTAGCAGTAACACATTTGAAGTCGTAATTTTCCTTATTAGAGGTACTTGTTAGAAGAACATACCCAATTTTCTGGAACTGTTCTTCCAAGTTGTTCCAAACATATCTTATTTTCTGCACTTTTATGCATCTTACCTACAAAAGAAAAGCACCAAGTTTCTAGTGTGAGGATCACAGAGGACACACAACCACAGATGAGACAAGCATTTGTGGAAGAAACAAAGAGTCTTGATACACTTATTTATTTTATCCTTCTCTATTTTATCTATCCTTTTTGCTTCACCAATGGCATACTTTATTAGAAGTCATGATTCAGTAAAATTTGTCCTGGGCCTACTCTATTGATAAAATACATTAATTAATAACTCATGTTTCTATACTCTATTACTTTTTTAAAAAAATTTAGTTATTTTTATTAGAAAATAAGATACACAGAGAAGAGGAGAGACAGAGAGGAAGATTTTCCCCCCCCCCGTTGTTTCACTCCCCATGTGACTGCAACAGCCATAGATGAGCTAATTTGAAGCCAGGAGCCCAAAGCCTCTTCCGGGTCTCCCACATAGGTGCAGGGTCTCAAGGCTTCGGGCCATCCACAACTGCTTTTCTAAGCCATAGCAGGGAGCTAAATGGGAAGCTGGGCCCCCAAGATTAGAACCGGAACCCATTTGGGATCCTGGAGCATGCAAGGTGAGCATTTTAGCTGCTAGGCTACCATGCTTGGCCTGTCTATTACTTTTAAAATGTGAAGGAAAGAAAATATTTTCCAGGGCCAGCACTATAATTTAATGTGCTAAGCCTTTACCTGCAGTGCTGGCATCCTATATGACTACCTATGTGAGTCCCAGTCATTCCACTTCCCATGCAGCTCCCTGCTAATGTATATGGGAAAGTGATAGCAGAGAGTCCAACTGCTTGAGATCCAGAAACACAAATAGCAGTCTCAGCCAAAGCTCCTGACTACTGCTGTGCCCTGGTTGTTGTGGCCATTTGGACAATGAAGAAACAGCTGAAAGAATCCCACCTCTGCTATTGTGCCTTTCAATTAAATATTTTTTTAAAGATTTATTTTATTTTTATTGGAAAGGCGGATATACAGAGAGGAGAGACAGAGAGGAAGATCTTCTGTCCGATGATTCACTCCCCAAGTGAGCGCAACGGCCGATGCTATGCCGATCCGAAGCCAGGAGCCTCTTCCAGGTCTCCCACGTGGGTGCAGGGTCCCAAAGCTTTGGGCCATCCTCGACTGCTTTCCGGGGCCACAGGCGGGGAGCTGGAAGGGAAGCGGGGCTGCCGGGATTAGAACCGGCGCCGACATGGGATACAGGCGTGCAAGGCGAGGACCTTAACCACTGCGCCATCGCGCCGGGCCCATAGTTTTGAAATTCTATAGAAACATGGAGGATGGAAGACATCCTGAAAGAGATGACAACTGAGCTACAATATTAGAGAAATGGAAGAAGATTGCTCAGGTGAGAAGAGGACAAGTAGAAGAGATAGTCCACGAGTCAGTTGAGAGGTGCGACTCAAGGAGTGGGGCTCTGTAACTGCAGAATGGAGAATAAAACTGGAAGAATAAACTAAGACCAAATATGAGCAGGGTTAAATGCTAGGATAAGGTATCTGTGACTTTAACTTATAGATGACAGGCCTTGGAATAATCTATAGAAGATGCTAAAAAAGATTAAGCTGGTAAGTGAGGGATTGAGGGTGTTAGCAGTGGAAGAGGAAGGGCGAGTGCTGGTGATGATTGCCTTCTTGCTTCTAATGTCTCTAAGCAGCTTTATATGTGAATCTGAGTTGCCATGAACTGCTGCACCAACCAAGCACAAAGAGAAGCAATAGGAGTGTGATACTGCAATACAGAAATGGTTATAGTCTCAGACTTCAAAAACCACTTGTGTTTGCCTGTTCCTTTCCCCTCCAGCAGGTTCTGATTTTATTTGGCTGCAGTGCATCATGGGCATGAATATTTCAGAATTTCCCCCAGGTAGTTTTAATGTGCAGCCAAAGTCAGGAAACAATGTTCAAAGCTTCTTTTTATAGCTACTCTGCTGCTGTATGCTTTAGCTGAGTATCTTTGCACCTCAGTTTCTCCAGGAATAAATGGAGGTAATTGGCCAAAAAATGTTTGAGTTCTACTTCAGCTCCTCTAGCTATCTCCTATACCTAGAAATAATATAGTCAGTGCAGGCATTATATAATAAATTGTAAAACTGGAAAGAGCATATAGCTGGAAAGTTTTAAGTGCTCAATATATTCTTGATTAGGTAAGTGAACGAATGCTTTGCAAAACCATATCAACTAGAAATATGGTTTGAATCCCTGCACTCCAGTAAAAGTTACCTCAAATGAATCTTGATTCCACTCATTAAGCAAATGTGTGTGTGTGCATGTGCGCACACACAAGCTTATTCAATAAGTTAGTTGCAAAGTAAAGTATTAAAAATGTGTCCTATTTCCAATTGATTTTCATTACAAACTTAAAGGGAGCTTTCATTGATAATACTCAATAATTGATAATAAATAGAAAATTAGAGAACAAAGTATTCGAAAGTGTCCAGTGCTGCAAGGGCTCAGCTATCATGATCCTATGAGGAACTCAAGTTTGTTGCCTTAGAATTTAACTTTCCTTTGCAGTACTCCCCAAAGTTTTGCAGAGAGGATTGGGTACTGACAATCACTATTTTTTCAACAGCTTCTCACACATTGTCTTCAGTCTTTCTCATCATTCTATGGTAGGACAGACATTGCTTCCCACTCACTCTGCAGCTGAACTTCATTTTGATGGAGCCACTTGCAAGGCTGGAATTATCACGCTGGTCCATCTAACTCTAAAGTTCAGCCCCTCAAAGGATATAATATTTAGTTTTCAAAAGAGAATTTGAAAATCCCTTAATGTCAGCATTCAATTTGTATACAGTAGGGACTGTCCACTTGATGAACTTCATAAATTTGATGATCTGTTTTAGAAACATTTTTAAAAAAAGAATAAAGGAGAATCCGCAGTAGAATGTGAGGCCCTGAGAAGTAACAGAACTTTAATCAAAAGGCTGTGAAACCACAGACTGAAACATACAGAGCATCCTGAACATGGAACATCCAAAGATGAAGGCAGCCATACCAAGGGATAAAGGGACTACTGGTACATTGTATTGTAGGCCTTAAGATAGAGACTGCATGATGACTTTTACAGCCACCCTTGCACAATGAGAAAGCTAATGTCCTCATAGACCTTCCAAGCATCTTTGAGATTCCCCCACACAAAACTCTGCCTGCAGTTTAACTGCTTAGTTCATCACCTTGGGAGCCTCTGCAAGCAGGTGACAGGTTAAGAAAGAGATTAGTTTATTCACCCATTCCCTAGAACTTTGGACCAGGAAACTGTAACTCAGAAATGGAGCATTTACTGCAGAGTGGATTTCGTCATTCCACCCCTGAATCAGGAAGAGTTCCTCTTCCTAGGCTTCTCGCCCTCCGTTTCTTGTTGGCACATGCTGCCAGAGCACCCTGTTTCAGCTGTGGGTTTCAGGTTGGCATGCCATCCCACAAGGTGGTCCTTATAGTCTCCCCAGACTATATTTGCAAACCAGAGTTAGTTTCTTGGTGGCACTCTCCAAACTTCCTGTAGATGGTCCAATTGATCAGTTTGGTTGCTCGTTATTGACATCATGTCACCAAGGCTGATCCCATAACTTCTCTTTCAATCCAATGAAAGTTTTAGCCCTATTGTCAATTTAAATTGCAGCAATTCACAAATCACCTTAATATATGCCTTTTAATACAAGCCTTCTTTTTTTGGATTCACAATCGCCCTGAGAAGCAGGCAGGGAAGGGATCATTGCTCTAGTTCTGTAAATAAGAAACTCAAGACTCAGAGAGGGACGGTTATCAGCCCAGCTCCCTGAGAAATGAAGATATTGAGCATAGATAGAAACAACTTTCCTTTTCTAGACCTCTTCGCCTTTCTCAAGTTCTGTTTACTTATTCGAGCATCTCTTCATTTGTCTGTACATTTATATATTCAATGCAGTTAAGAATGCATGAATTTCCAGACAGTAAGACTCTGAGGCCATGTGCATAAGGCAGATCTGTGAAGCCCGCTTCTCCACGTGAATTAGGAAATCTGTTAGGTGGAGGGATTTGACCTCTGCTGCTATGCTTATTTGGGCAGCTAAGATCACTAGGTGAAAATAATTGACTGTTTAAAAAATGCTTGACAATTGGCTTTTATTATTTTTAACAATGTAGCAAACAATTTGTCTCATTAAATGTGTCACAGTATCAATGTTAACTAGTCATAATCTGAGTTGTATTAATTTAATATAGTGAAGAAGGATTATCCCAATACCTTTGAATGACAGAATTCAAAATAAGGTCATTTTATAGATATAAGAAAACTCCTTAGAATGTGCCTTGGGTGATAATCGCCTACTGTCAGATTAATCCTTTATGCAGGTTATAATCCAGAACATAATACCATTAAAGGATGATGTTTTGGACCTGGCACTATATGGACCATTGAATTCCTTAATTTACTGAATTTCACCAACTAATCATAGAAATGAGTATTTTACCATTGTATTTTATTGATGAGAAAACTTAGATTCAGCAGAACTAAATAAATCAGGTTTGCACTGTTTAGAAGCATAAAGCTGGGATTTCAAGTGAGTCCTTTCTAGCTCCAAAGTCTATTCGTTACACTGCCAGTCAAGGATTGGCACAATGGAGCTCCCAAAGTTCACCTTGTTCTGGATTGTGTGAATGTGGAATCAACTGCAGGCATAAATGCACCTACCTTTAGGTCTGGCTTTCTGATGGCTCTGTTGATGATGTATTCCTCCTCAGTAATGAGAGGGTGGTCAGGAGTGAGACCAAAGGCACTGCTCAATGCTGACAAGTAGATCCATGTTACCTTTTTCCGAGAGTAAGTCTGGAATTCATCCTGAAGAAACAGATACCAGAAACTCCATAAAGTTAAGACAAGTCATTAGGCTATGATTCAACTTGAAAAATAGTATTTTAATGCAACTCTAAGTTTATGGAGTTGATGAACATTCTTGGCAGAGTTATGTCTTTGAAACATGTTGGATACATAGCATGTATGAATATGAATTGCCAACAGAGCTAGAGAAGCAAGAGGTATATTCTCAGTTAGGAACCCATGCTCCTCCCCTTACCTTACCTTAGGCCGTAGTGCTAGGTCCAGGTGCAAAATTTCACAGAGAAAACAATAAAACAAGCATTTCAAAGGTCTCAGTGTATCTCCAAGGGTGAGGAAATCACTTAAGAACACCATCCTCATCTTTTTAAAAATAATAATAAATTTATTTTAATTTTGGTGATGTTTACATAGTTGAGAGGGATGCATACCTATATGAACCACCAATTAGGGTGGAATGGGTCAAGGAAAGGGGGAAAGTGGGTGAAACAACTGCCTCCAATCTCCTTTTTTCTTCTGAGTAAGTGGAGAGACAAGGGGAGAGGGCTGCTCCAAGCAACCCAATTGCATTCACTACCCAGAAATGTGGGAAGGCCACCCAATGTCATTCCAAAATCCCCAATGTGGAGCATGTTCCAATGACACTGCAAAACTGATGCTGAAAGTTCTGACATGCTGTGATTTCACTGTTCCAAGCCTGAGGGAATCCTTCCAAGATCCATTAGCTGACATAGTCTACCTTAGAGTCTATTCACTCAGATACTTGTCCAGGAGAGCTGTCTAATTTATTCAGCTCTCTATAGTACTAGACGTCCTCTGTAGGCCTCAATGAACTGGTTGTCTTGGCCCCCAGGACCATCTGGGCATGCCATCTGCCACCCAGGCCTCAGCAACTATGGAGAGCCAGTACTGACACATGCACTCCACGATCAGACCACATATTGTGTGATTTTCCACGGTTGGAGTTCTGAGTTCAGTGATCCAGTTCAGGGGATCCCCAAAGAAACCTTGCCAGAAGTGACTCCAACCTGATTCCTTTGTGTGCCAGACAGTGTGGAGTCCAGCTCAGTCCATCACCCATATCAGCTTATATACACACACACACTGGTGGTTGCAGTCACCTGATCAGTTCTGTCCCCAGCCCCATCTCATATGCAAAGCAATGAATACTGCGATCTAGCCTAACCCTATCCACCACATACTTGGCCCTCACATACACTAGCAGAAGCTAAAGCCTAGTCAGAGTGACCCCATTAGTCCCTAATAAGCCCAACCCCAGCCCTGGTTCCTGTGCATGCCAGTATGTACAGCAGACTGATCCAGTCTGTCCCACATCCCATTCAACTCTTGTACACATCAATGGGCATTGGAACCTAGCTCAACCCAACCAACCCCATATCCATCCCACACTCATATCAGTGGGTGCCACCACCTGTCCAGCCAGGTCCACCCTTAGTCCTGGCTCTCAGTGCTCACCAGTGGGAGGGGCAGCTCATTAGAGAATTGCCCAGAGTTTCCCTACTGGGCCAACTCCCATGCCCAGATCTTGTACTTTCCACATGATACTATGGCCTAGTTTGATAGGAGGTTTTGCCCAGTCTCAGTCTTTTCCAGCTTACACTCATTCCAGCTCTTACTGTTGGGTGCTGCAGCCTAGCCATGCCTGGTCCACCCACATACCCAGCTCACATGTGATACAGTGAGTATAGAGACCAAGCCCAATCTGACTTATATGTACCCTGACTCTTGCGAGCACCAGCAGGTGCTGAAGCCTAGCCCAGTTTGGCACATCCAGTCTACATCATGCCGTGGGATGCTGCAGCTATGTCCAGTCCATCTCAACACCCCCATTCCAGCTCTCATGCTCACTAGTAGGAACTGTAGCCCAGCAGGGGCATTCCCTTAGCTCCCTGACCAAGTTTGCTCCCAGCCACAGATCTTGTGCATGCCAGTGGTTGTTGCAACCCAGCCAGGCATAACCCATCACCCAGCTTGACCTTTGCCATCAGATGCTGTAGCTTGCCCTACTCCCATGAATGTTGTTGAGCTCCATAGTCATGTCTATTTCAGCTCATCACCATTTTAGCCATTGAGCAAACCAGCTAGTATGGCAGTCCCACACGGATGAGCCCACGATCCCCCACAGAATCTGCTCCCAGACCTGGTTCTCTCATGAGCTGGTCTGTGTTGTAGCCCAGCCTAACATGATCCATTCCCTGTCCCAACACTCACTATGGATACTGCGGTTGATCCCTATCAGGCAAGCCACCCAGCTATGGTTTTTGTGTGCCCCTACAGGTGGTGGTTGATACCCACAGTCACAGTTCAGGTCTCCCACATGGGCAGGTGTATCGGTTTGGGCCCGAAAAGTCCTCCAGCTTCCCTCCTCTAAACTACCCAGTCTCAGCATCCTCATTTATCTGCAAGTGCAGGATCCAGGTTGGAGGAAGTCCCCCAGAAATCACTCCTAACCTGTCACATTCTCCCTCAGCAATCCTCTCTCCTAACATCTCCATCCCGCTTACACTCAGTAATCCACAGCTCCCCATGCCTGCAGACCCTCAGAAGCATGGAATGAATGGATTAGTGAAGATCACAATGGTCCACGGAAACAGATGTAGTAACAGCAACTATTCTTATCTGGAAGGGCAAGTGCTAAGCATAAAGCTCGCTCACACGTGTGGTCCAGCATTAAGATATAAAGGAAAGTCAGGCCTGGGAAGAATTGTATGCCTGAGGAATGCAGATCAGAGCTAAGGATATTCACCACCACAGCTACATCTGCCATAAAGAGCTGCAGAGCTGACTGCAAAAGGCACAGATTCTCCCTCCAAGAGAAGCCCACCTCCATATCTTTGCTCCTGCTGCTTCCTTACCCTGGAATCCATATTCTCCTCTCAGTTCACCTTCACATGAATATATGGGATGGAGCCTAACCATTCTTCAGGGTCCAGCTCAAAGTTACAGCTGAGGATCCTCTAATCTCTCTGAGTGATCTGTTCTCTAAACCTTCAAGATGATCGTTTCCTTCATCATCCCACCCTTGGCCTTCCCACATTATAATTACTCTTGGACTGGGGCAAGTTTTTGTGCTTACAATATCTGTGAGGATACTCACAGTCCCTATCTGAGTGCCTAAATTTGAGCTTCAACTCTACTCTAAATTCCATCTTCACGATAACATGAAACCATGGAGTCAGCAGGTGACAGACGGTTAGTTGACTGGGTAGCTGACATTCATGTGGGATTCCTGGACTGAGTTCTTGGCCCCCAATTTCAAGATGGTCCAGTCCCACATGATGTGAACGTTCGGGGAGTAAATGAATAGGTGCGAGAGTGTTTTCTCCCTCTTTTTCTTTCTATCCTGCTTCCTCTCCCTCTTTTTCCCTCCCTCTTAAGTGGTTAAAACAAAAAGTGGTGTTTTGTAAAAAGGTAAAGGTTAATCTAATGCAACAGCTTTGTTTTTACTCCAAGTGACTAATGAAAAATGAAACCCATTTCTATACTACTTATTGTATAAAGGTAATTTATATTACTTGCTGTATAATAAGTATTATTACCTTTATGCAATACTACGTATTGTATAAAAGCAATTTTAGAAGTTCATAAAAAGCTTTTGGAATGCGTGCATATTTCTCTACAAAACACAGTTTCTATAGATGTTTGAAAGATCTCTCCTAGCTTGCAGCATCAGTAAGTCAAGGATAAACTTGGGTGTGTTTGCCTCTAAGTTTATACTTCTTGCCATTATTAGCCCTGAGTTCAAGTAACCCATAATTCTGGATGATGTAAAATGGAATCCTGCAAAATGTAATATACAACAGCTAAACAGTTTTGCTAGTGCGCAGTGCTGACCATGAGTTGCCTCTTGGTTAACACATTAAGAGTCTGAAATCATTCAAATTTTTAAGAGTCAAAAAAGCAAATAAAAGCAAAGAAAGTATGTCAATGCGTAGTAACACCCAGGGAGATGATATTACCAACTTCCCTCAGCTTTCAACTTGCCGTTGACCGTTAAAGAAAAAATAGAGGGTTGATCTTAGAACTCTCCAAGCCTGATTTTCTTATTTCAAAAAGTAAGAGTAATACTCATACTGCATTTAATGGTTCCTCAAAAGATGTGAAAAAATAGTGTTTCTGGTGCTAGGTCTGGATCATAGCATAGATACAACAGCTAGGTAGCATATAGTGCCTTGCCTCGTTTTTTGCAGCATGTGGTTCTTGGGAGCTTTCTGAAACTTCCTTTCCCTTTCTGGAGAAGCAGCATCTTCCCTTGGAAATGTCTTCTTCCACTTTAGTCTGCTTCCTAACTCTTTTTCAAGCACTTAACACTTTGGAAAAACAGGTGAACCTACCATTATAAATAATTGGCCTGAACACAAATACATGGAATGGTTTGCCTGGCAAATCTGGGATTGTTCACATCTCAAGCCTCACCAAACAGGCTTTCCCTTCTGTTTAACAAAAGAAATGATGACTTGAGCCCTTGAACTCTGGGAGAGTAGATTTAAAAAAAAAAAATTAGCGGTAGGTTTCGGAAGTTGAATATACGCAGAGGATGTATGTTTCACCTGGACAGAAAAAGACAGACACCTGAGCATTTGTTTTTAATCTCCTGTGGCCTTGCACTTTCTGAACCTGGAAAATGTCAGGCTAACATATCACTGAAGTGGATTATTTCCTTTCATTTTTTTTTCTACAAGCAACCTCGTTCCTTGGAATTTAAAAGCAATGTAATGATCACTTGAAGTCAGGGCTGTGACTCTTCCAGTCTGGGAGCTCACTACACACACCCACACACACACACACACACACACACACACACACACACACATCTGAGCTTACTTCAAAAAGAAGAAAAAGAAACCCATTACACAGTTTCAGGAGACATTAGAAAACCTGCACTTTTCGCTTGGAGATGGATGCACTGCAATGCTAACAGGATGAACTCTAGCCAAGGTCAAGTATTTAGAGGATTAAAATTAATGCTCAGACTCTTTTAA